AAGATGGTTAGTTTAAATCATAAACTTGACATAACCTAGGATCATCTGGAAAGAAGGAACCTCAACTGCAGAATTGCTCAGATCATATTGGCCTAGGGCCACGTTTGTGAGATATGTTGTTGAATTATGATTCGTGTAGTGAGATACTGCCTACTGTGGGCAGCACTACCCCTAGGCAGATCTAGCCTTTATGAGAAAGCTAGCTGAGCCTGAGCGAGGGATAGGCCAGTAGCTGCATCCCTCCTTGGTTTCTCCTGCAGCTCCTGCTTGTGTTCCTGTCCTCACTTCTTTCAATAATGGAGTGTGACTTGCAAGTATAATCCCAATAAACCCTCTCTTCCCCCACGTTGCTTTGGTTCATGATGTTTATCATGGTAGCAGAAAGCAAAAGGGAATGTTTATTGAAAATGTTAAATGTGCATGTTCTTCCATAGTGAAGGCTATAAGATTCAACGTCACCAAATAATGAAACAACCCAGATTAATTAATTTCTTCTCTGAATCCTTAAGTTAGATGATATATAATCTTCCCTGCATCCTGATACTAATTTCATCTTTAGTTAAAAGCTGTTTTGAAGATATACAATGTGTATTTAAGGGCTTAGTAGACCTATAAATTGTCTTTTTTCCCTTTATGTTATGGATGGGTTAGATGCTCACTGAACTAACTTTATGTTTATAGTTTGGGAACTGGAATTTCATAATCTAGATTTAATTAATGTAAAGATGCTAGCACTTCATTGGCTTTATTATCTGTCTGATTCATTAGACTTTTCTGCATGCTTTGAGGGAGAGAATTTCCAATTAATGATTCATATATCTTATTAATTATCTACTTTCTTTAAATCTGGATATTCACATTAAGAATTAGATAGTTTGCATATCAGATAGAAAATAATATACCCATTCATTTTTCCTACGTGTGCTTCTTTTCCCTTGTTGTCTGTTGTTTCTGAGTGTTAACAGATTCATCAAACCCAAACATACGGCTATCTTCCATACCAGTGTACACTGAAACTCAGTGTGGCAAATAATACTAAATAAATAGTTAGAATTTCAAGTTTGAGTATGTAACAGATTTATTAATTTTTCATATGAGCGAGGTATGCTTTTTGTCTATCAATGCTAATGATTTAGCTGACATATTATTTTATTCTTGGGGTGCTAACAGTGAAATATTAAACAATCTGTCTGTTATTAGGAATTTCATGGTACCTACAGCCAAAGCATGGTTCAAAGATAACTGTGACTCACATGTCTTGCCAATGTCTCAAAAAGTATCTGGCATAAGTGTGATGACCAAAAGGGAAGCACCATATGACTGAAAGTGCAGATATTGAGTCTTCCCTGCCCATGTTGCTGAGGTACTGTAACAGCTCACTGCCTTGTACAATTCTTGGCTTGGAAAAGTCCTTGAATTTAGACCAAAAGAAATTCCTTGTAAACAACTGGTACCTGGATACAAGAAAATGTCAGTAAATTGCCCTAAACACTGAGAATGGGATGGGGCCTAAAGAGCGATATGATAAATACAGAGGAAATGGGTAGCAGTTCTCAAAATTAATTTTGTAGAGACTGGCAAGACATGCAAAATTGAGAATTTTTAAGAAGAAAAACCTTAGATTTCCATAAAACACAGTAATATTTTGTGAATCACTGCTTATTATAAAAAACTTTAGACATATTTAAAAAAAATCTCACGAGGCTGGACTTTTGGCAGATGTCGTCCTCTAACTATTGTCCTGCATCAGAACTTGTGAATCCACAAAGTCAAGCCCCCTAGTGGAGTTGGAAGAAAGCTATATAATGTTCAGTCAGGATACATTTTCAATATCCATATAGGTGTAAATAGTTTATATGAACTGGGAGCATTGGTGGTGGCTGTCAGTTCTGTGAGGTTCTTACTTGCATTACTCTCATACTTGCTCCTTTGGGAAATTGATCCCATCATGAGGAGGAAACAATAGAAGGCATTATTGGAAACCCTCCTTTCCAACACCAGTTCTACCTCACTTAAAATTGCATATACTGGAGTGATCCTCAGGTAGGGTCTTCTTTGTAACTTAGAGTAGTCAAATGTGCTCTTCTTGTGTTTCCCATCTCCTCATATGAGGTTTGAATTGTTGGTTTAGTATATCTAATGATCTGAACAGGGTATTCACCAATCATGTTCATTGCCTTTGCAATAAAGACAGAGCTAGGCAACAAAAAACTAACAGAAGAAAACACAATGTCTGTAAAAGATGGTATCATGTCTGTGGGAAATGAACAAATTCTGTGGTTTGCATTGTATCTTAGAAAAACAATGCATGAGGGTTTTCATACCTTGTTGAGAGCACAAGCAAAAATATTTTGGTCAGAACTTTACCATGCAGAAATATCTTTTAATGTTTACTTTTCATTTATTTTATTTCCCCCCTCTCTCTCTGTGTGTGTGTGTTTGTGTGTTGTGTGTGTGTGTGTGAGTGTGTCTATGTGTCTGTCTGTGAGGTAGTGGTTTTATCAGAGTACATATATGGAATGCTATATGACCACTTTAGACATCAATTTTCTTCTTCTACCATAGGGATTCCAGGGAATGAGCTCAGGTTGGAAGGCTTAGCCAGTGCACCATCTCCTGTGTCCAAGAAGTGTATTGAAAGTTTACCAAAATTCATGTCAGGCTATTTTCCCTTTTATTGAAAATAGATCTTTTTATTATACAGTATATCCTGAATGAAGTTTCCCGAGGTCCTCTTCACCTTCCCTCCACTCTGGATCCATTTCCTTTCTGTCTCTCATTAGAAAAGAACAGGCTTCTAATAAGTCATGACTAAACATGACACAATAAAACACAGTAAGATGGAGCAAAAACTATCATATTGAAGTGTAGGCACAAGAGTCAGAGACCTCCTCATTCTTAGTCAGTAGTTGTATAGAAACACAAAACTAATAGGTAGAAGATATACATAGAGGACCTGGTGCAGGCCAATGAATGCCATGTGCTTGCTGCTTCAGTCAGTATGAACTCATGTTAACCTTGCTTAATTGATTCAGAGAGTTTTGCTCTCCTTGTGTATTCCATGCTCTCTGGCTCTTACATTCTTTATACCTCATTTCCAAGGAATTCCCTGGGCTCTGGGAGGAGGAAGTCAAAGGAAACCTCCAATTTAGACTTGATCTCTTATCTATTCCTATCTTCTTCTAAAGGAAGGCTCTCTGATAATGATTGGATAAGGCCCAGATCTATGAGTATAGCAGAATATCATTAGGAATTATTTTATTGATTTTTTAAAGACCAGTAGTGTTTGATTTCACTGCAGAACTCTAGGCTTTCTAGTCTCTGTTTCTTCACTACCCAAGCAGCATTGGGTGTGGGTTCCTTCTTGTGGAGTAGGCCTTAGGTCAAATCAGACATTGCTTGGCTATTCTCATAAGTTCTTTGCCACCATTGCCTTAGCATATTTTTCATGCAGGACAGATTGTAGGTCAAAGGTTTTTTTTGTCTGTGTTAGCATCTACATTTCTGGTAACCTTCAGAGTAACTTCCTGTACCAAAGAGACTATAATATTGGGGTGAGGTCTTGATGTAGGGACGAGCTCAAATTCCCCATGTTCAATGAGATGTGTGGGTGTTGTCCTTGGCAATGGGGTGAGATCTGTCAGCATGCAGGGGACAACCTTTTGTCTTAGGAATAGTGTGGGTTGTTTGGGGATTTCCATTGGATCTTCTTGGCCAATAACTCAGGTGAATGCAACCTAGTCCCAACACTGGAAGCCTTGTGTAGAAATGATCAAGTCAGACTCTATAACCAACATTACTAGGAGTACTCATAGGATCACCTTCCTAGATGCCAGGAATCTTCTACAGAATTAGATTTCCACACTACCTCCCAAATGTCCCACTCCCCCAGTTGCTTTAGTTTCTCTTGATTTTTTAAGATCTATTCATTCCCTCACACTGTTTGTGTTTTCCTGGGTTTCTTTATTGATTTTCTCTTTAAGGACTTCTATCATCTTTATATTTGATGATTTTTTTCCTGTCCTTCATCTATGTTGGCATATTCAGGACCTGCTGTGGCCGAGACATGTTGCCCTGGATGTTATTGTGTTTTATGCTGGTATTTAGGCATCTGGATTTAGTATGATTATGGGTATAAGTAATGATTTCTGGATTTGTCTTTGTTGGCTGTATTTTGTTTCTTAGATTCTGTTTCCTTCCTGGATTTTCAGAGAGAGTATGATGTCTGTGTGTTGCTATTTTTTTTTGGTCTGCTCAGGTGGTGTGTTCACAGTGTATGCCTGCTGGTATTGAAGCTTTGGATACTGAGATGATTTTGGAGAGGGAAGATTGGAGGAAAGGGTCTTTGTGATCTCTTGGATATGGGGTCAGACAGGAAAGGGAAACCAGATGATTTTGGAGAGGGAAGATTGGAGGAAAAGGTCTTTGTGTTCTCTTGGGAATGGGGTCAGACAGGAAAGGGAAAACAGAGCAGATTGTCTGAGTCAAAATTGGGGATGAAGCTGGGTGGGGAAATTGAATTTCAGGAGCAATAGAAGAATGGTAATTTTGCCTTCGGACTACTTTTTGCCCTAGAATGGATGACCCTTGGAATAGCATGGCATGCCTGCTGGGATTGGGGTCTGGTAGAAAGCTATGAGCCAGGGAGCAAAGTTAAAAGTGGGAAGATCTGTGGGAACCATATGGGAGATGACTGTGAACTAAGTTGCCTATGGTGCACTACTGTAGAGCTGGCTCTGCTGTAGAGTTTGGAATGAGACTAGGGGATTTGAACTGGGGGTAGAGAAAAAGAAGAGAAGGGCTGCAGGCAGCCTCATCTTGCCATATTCTTAATAGTATTTACCTCTGTAGGGGAGATACAGGATCAAAGACTTGGGATGTTGAATTTCTTAGTTGCTCAGTTTTTATGACAAGACTGTCACTGGTTATGAATAACATAGAATATATTAATGTTACATTAAAAGTGAATGTCTAATGTCTCATGGTGATCATTTTATTAGGTGTTCCAAAATTTCCAAAAGAAAAAATTGAACCCTTGGATGTAGAAGAAGGGGATTCCATTGTCCTACCCTGCAACCCCCCCAAAGGCCTCCCACCTTTGCACATCTATTGGATGAATATTGGTAAGTAGTGTTCTGTTCCATCATTCTGAGTTACTTTAATTCCATGAGCTATGTAAGTAACACAGTGAAGCCAATGAAAGCAAACATTCATATCTGATTAATTATGCTGTAGAGACAAATAGATTTCAAAATTAAATATATTTGAAATTTCACCTTTCTTCTGAGTGTAAACTAGAATGTATATGCGAAGATACTAGAAAACCATGACATTCCTTGATTTCCAGTACTTGAAGGGGCGTGGGGAGTATTCATATGATAGGATACACCTGTGAAAAACCTTCCTTCCACAGTCCTTATCTTTGGAACATAGGCTATATAAGAATTGAAGTGACTTGAATTTGTTGTTTGCTTAGTATTGCAGTTTTAACTTAGTTCTATTTTATAAAATAAATGACCTACAAGACATTCTGTATCAGCCTGTGTGTTTATTCTCCCAAAATGCTTTGGTGGTTGCTGAAGCCTCTTCTTGCAAAGCTGGTTTTGTCACATGATTTACAATGGCCCTCTGGGTATCCCTCTATTGTGTTATATAACAAAATCATATTTGTAGAGCAGCCAGAGGAAAATAAGTGAAGCTACACTTGGCTATAGCCAAACTTTGTAGCCTTCACTCATCCTAGAATTACACATCTGCACCCAGTGCAGGGAGATAGATGCTCAAACATCACTTCTGAGGAGCACAGTTTCACAGAAATATCAAGAAAATAAAAGTAAGGATTGGCTGCTATTATAACTGAACAGTTTTCAGATCAGCCATAACAAAGGTACAGACCTATTGGTAATGAGGGATAGAACATCCAGACTACTGGTGTATCTGAGAGATTCTTGGTCTTCTGAGGATTCCATTTTTGGCTATTTTTAGCTGTTTGCTTGCTCACTGCTCTTGTACTAACATAGGACTGTAGAAAATAGGAAGAACAGACAAGAGGCATCACAATACAAATCATATGAAAAAAAATAGAAATATAAGAGTATGGTGTAGCGTTGATGAGGAGGGACAGCCCATTTCAGTGACAAGGTTGTATTTGTTTTTCCTTGCAGAATTAGAACACATTGAACAAGATGAAAGAGTATACATGAGCCAAAAGGGAGATCTGTATTTTGCAAATGTGGAAGAAAAAGACAGTCGAAATGATTACTGTTGCTTTGCTGCATTTCCAAAATTAAGGACGATTGTACAAAAAATGCCAATGAAACTAACTGTGAACAGTTGTAAGTCCAGATAATTTATTCATCTTTCACTCATGCTGAATGCAAATATGTGCATAATTTTATTCTTCTCTCTGAAGACATTTAAAGCTGGGTTGGTATTTTCCGTCATTGTTCCCTTTGACTCCAGAGACTACATTCAGATGATCTAGACATCTGCAGCTGCAAATCCACAGTAGCGCTGTCTCTGGCAGCCAGAAAATCAAATCTCAATTCACAGTACAAATGTGTTTCATTTGATGTCTGCAGGATCTACTCATTTTCAGTGAGCATAAAGCACATCTCAGGCATGGGCTCACTGTGACCTTGGATAAATCAGCTGGCTGAAAATGAAGGAGACAAAAATTGAGTCAAAAGAAAATCATCATTTATATTTTTTTTATCACATCAAGCTTTTTCCCTGTCCTCAAATTGGCAAAGTTGCCTGAATAGATTTTCTGTTTCCTACTTAAATCTGCAATTGCATCTTAGGGTTCCCAGAAAGGAAGAAGTAATTAGTAGAGGAAAACTGGTAATATTCAAAGGCAAAGAATAATCCCAGCAGATTCGTGGCTGAGTAATTGGCCCTGGTAGAACAGAAGGTTGGCATGACCATTTCATGTCTAATTTGGTCCATGATTGTTCCATTATCTTGTTTACATATGATGTATGGGGTCTTCTTTATGATTCCTTTCAGGAGCCTGAAATCTCTGTAGTAGAATTATCACTTGTCTCTTCACAACTTCAAGTTTAAGCTCTCTCTCTCTCTCTCTCTCTCCATATGTATGTATGTATATGTATATGTACATTCCTACAGATAGTGTGCAAATGGGCATGACTTTACTTCCTTTTGTAATTGTCCAGAAATAATTGCATGACTTTGACTTTCCATGCTTTATTGATGTCAGCATCAGCCATTATGTTTGTATTAGTTTCTTCCATCTTTTTTATTTCAGTAAAGCATGCTAATGATTCAAGTTCATCCACAGAAATTAGTTCCAAGGGTAAGTTGTCCATGTGAAGCGTTTGGGAATTTATTTTTACCTTTAGTCACTCATTGTCATCTCAGTTTGAATTTTTCCTTTATTTATGCTGAGAATGTATTAGAAACAATGCTACTATTTGTGTTAAGTAACCCTTTAGCATAGACGATTCTAAGATCCACTGTCCTTTATAATTTAGTAATGAGAGAGAGATATATAGTGTGGGCCTGTGTGTATGTGTGTGCATATATATATATACATATATATATGTATGTGCATATATATGTATATATGTGTGTGCTTCACCTTTACAAGTAATATGTAATTGTATAATTAACAGATAAATCTATATCTGTAGTTTTAGTTATAGCTATATACATATAATTTAACTTTGTCTCGCCTAAGAACTCACAAATGTATGGCATGCAATGTTGATAACTTTATAAAAGGGAAGAGAAAATAAATTATTAATATGAAGAAAGGTGGAGAAACACTGGGTTTAGGAAAATTAAGTGAATTAATTTCACTTGTAAGACTTATCTGAAAAGTTGATAAATTACTATCTACTCTAACTCTGTGACAGAATGCAATTTTCAATATATATCTAATATTCTTGACAGCGGAACTTTTAAAATTTTATTCAGTTTTCTATAAAACATCTATTAAAATGTGCATTTTATCTAAGCTGCTTGAACTATAATCTGAATTATATAGTATACTTATTTTCTAAATTACAGTCACATGTATGAGTGAAATAATACCCCTTACATGATGTAGTCTAGAGGCTTCTCTTGGATTTCTAATATATGGTGATATCATCAGAAGGGGATAAGTCTCCTCTTGGGGTGTCATTTCAGGTGTCTTGACTCATCCAAAACATCATTTTCTTTGAGATTACTAATGTACATATATATCTTCAAGCATAGAAAAAATATTGCATATAGTATACATTCAAACGTCATTTCTAATATATGAATACATTTAAGGAAATGCATAGCAGACTTCACATGGCTTCCTATATCTTGTAATCCTCTCTTCTGATACTAAAATGTCAATATTTATTGTCTTCCCACCAAAGATAAAGTCACATTGGCAATGGATATGAAAATCAATTTATGATTGTATTTAAAAATGAAATCAAATTGTAGTGTGAACAAAATGTCCTAATTTGCCATTATAGTTTTAAATTACTAAGACAAGAAAAAAAATGAAACTTACCAATCTCTACTTAGTGGGGGACTTACTATGAGTCTTTTCCTGAAACAGTGTATATCTTTGAGGGTCTGAGATTACAAGAATTTCCTCAACAGCTAAATAAATTCATGGATGCCTGGTGTCTACTGGAAGTTTCCCTGCTCTGAATTGTCATTGAAGAAGCTTTTTTTTTGGTAGAAGGAATCCTATCTAATACTTAGGTCAATAAGTTAAATAGATGTACATAATCATAAAAAACCTCATAGATGTACATAATCATCAAAAACCTCAAGGCATGGTTAAACTATAGAATACAAAGTCGAATTATTAACTTGAGGGCATGTTCTAGAAATTTTCTTGAATAAGGCTTCAATTTCTGAAGAATAACAGGTGGTATACATTGTGCCTTTTATAAAAGTTGGTGAGGAAATTGAGAGACACATGCTTCCTTGGATTAGTCTCTTGAATGGGAGAATCTGTTTAAGAAGCACACAAAACTCTATACCTAAAACAATGTGAAGTCATGCAAGAATAGTCTAGTACCATAGAATTTTTACTATCTTTATTGGAGAGAGAATTAACTCTTATTTTTCCTTTTCCAGCAAATTCAATCAAACAGAGGAAACCCAAACTTCTCTTGCCTCCTGCTCAGAGTGGCAGCTCAACCACAATGACTGTCCTCAAAGGGGAAACCCTGTTGCTTGAGTGTTTTGCGGAAGGCCTGTGAGTACCCTGGCCTCTGCCCAGCCCTCTCCCATACAGTGTTTCAAATACTGCAAAATCAAGATGCTTGCTACATGCGTTCTCTTCAATTACTATTTTTAAACAAATTGGTGCTTCATTATACAGACTTCAGGCTACAACTTAATATGACTTAGCGGTACCTCTGTTTATTGTGGGATGCAGGGATGAAGTAAACTCCAGGTGAAGATGTGTTCCTGGTGTCTTTAGAGCATACATGTTAGTAGTCGCTCCATCTACCCTTGAGCCCTTAAGCCCTGCACTTTCTCTCTCCTCTATTCTCTGGCCTGGTGTATAGAGCACTAGCTCCACTGTTACTATACTTGGGGAGGGGTCACAACCTGTGCCCAAGGCAGGTGCAGCTATCCATCCTCAATAGGCCAATTAAAAGAGTCAAATTAATAGAGGACACCAAGAAAGATTTTTTAAATGTGCTCATATTTCAAAGACGGATAAAAGGATCTAGAGCTCCCTCCTGGCTCTGTCCTGATCTTGAAGGGAGACGCAATTTTACATGAAGGTCTAAGGATTTTCACTTTCATGAAATCCTAGCAAGATGTGATCCCACACACTATCGACTCATCAATCCTTGTCTGGACTTCAATCTCATCCTGTAATGTGGTCTGGCAAGTTGTTAAGAACTGTGTGAAATCTCTTTCCAAGGGAAACAAGCACCCCTGGCTATCCCCTTTTCCTTCTCCCAGAATAAGATTCCTGGAAAAATTCCCATTTCTTTGCCATCCGTTATTTCATTGGTTTGACAGTCTTCTTAGAATTGCTTCATTTCTGTCAGGCCATTACACTACTCTCTTTTTTATTTCTAAAGGCTTCTATTTATTTTTATTTCCCTTTCTGTATAAAAGCATGTCCAGATCAAAGTTAGAGAAAAAGCACATCAAAAACTGGTTGACTAACACTTCCTCATATCTCCAAGATCAATGGCCTGTTTCAGTTGTGCCAACAAAGCCCTAAGGACATGTTGACATCTCCTAAGATTCTTACCTTAGCTGAGTGACTATTGTACATTTATGGGATTGGGACAATGGTCATGTGAGTTCACGTGTTTCTACAAATATTCCCACTGACCTAACAGCCTGCCATCAGGAGTGCTGTGGAGAAAAGGCATTTCATCTTCTAGTTTGTTAATTTGAGATTCAATCATTTTGCAGGTAATGAAAGTATTTGTAATCATCTAAGATTTGAAAGATATAAAATTGCATTACATTAATTATTTATTGAAAGTAACAAATAAAATCCACCTTTGTTCATAATTCACTGAAAAGTCTTAATGACTTGTTTCAAGGCAGATTGTGAAGCAAAGGAATTGTTTTAATTATTGTACAACCTCTAGACTTTGCACATTTTCCTTCCCAATGATGTTACTTGCAAGTCCTATATCACCAGTGTTCAGTGATAAATTATTTTGGTATGTTGTCACATGACATCTATGGAGAAAGTTTGGTATCTGTGTGGTTCTTTAAGATTTATTTTCACACTAGGCATTGGTGGTGCACACCTTTAATCCCAGCACTCCAGTGGCAGAGGCAGGCAGATTTCTGTGAGTTCAAGGCCATCCTGGTCTAAAAGAGCTAGTTCCAGGATAGCCTCCAACGCCAGAGAGAAACCCTATCTCGAAAGCAAACAAACAAACAAAAAAGATTTATTTCCATTTTATATTCATCAGAATTTTTGACTGCAAGTATGTCTGTGCACTACATGTGTTCAATACCTACAGAAATTGTAAACCATTACATGGATGCTGAGAATTAAACCCAGGTCACCTGCAAGGACAGCGAGTGCTCCCACCTGCTAAGCCTTCTCTGTAGTCCTGGCCTTTCTCTTGTGAGAAGGTCAAATCATTCCCATCTGCTGTAACTGGTGGCTAACCACCTGGTGTCAGCATGTGTTTATATTGTGATAGAAATTAAATTATTTCAGACTTTGTCACTGTACAGGCTAACTCTGAGAGTTATGCAAACCTTTTTAGGGACTCTTTCCCCTCATATCCTGCCAATGCTGTCATTACTTCCTGAGGTGTTTGACATCTGTTCAGATTACCATCCACTTACAAAAAAAAATATCCCTGTGTGCCTTGAAGAGACTGGAGTTTTGGGAATGCACACAGAAAAAGAAAATGGACATCGTAAGAGTTGTTTCTCATTGCAACATGAAGATTACTAATACGTTGTCATAAGAAGAGATTCTCCCCCCCCACATAATTGGTTTAAGTTAGATTATTCATTCTGTTTGGTCTTCCTTTGAATGGATACAATACATTCAAAAATGTTTTTGAAGCATGTCATATATATTTCACTGAAGTTTTCAATCACGTGTGTTCTAGAATAACAAAAGTAGAAATAACTATCCATTGTGGTAGTATTTTGTCCTGTACACTCTTGACTCATGTTACCTCCCAACATTCGCCAGCTGCAATTATTTTCATTTGCATGTTAGGCAAATGAAGCCCACAGAGCTCATACCGAAGAAAAGCGCTCTTCCAAACTGAATAGAGCCTTCTTATCCAAACCTTTTGGGTCTCCAAACCTTAAACTCCTCCTCTAAGTGTAACACACACCAACATATTTTTATCAAATAATCCCTTTCTACTTAGACAACAAAAGCAGTGAAGAAAAGCACACAGCATGTGCTCTGAGGTAGTTACATACATTACACATTTAAGTAAATAATTACAATAAAAATGTTTGTGCCGTTAGTTAAGAATGCTTTCCATGCAAACATGAGGACCTGAGTTTGAGTCCTTAGCACTCACCTGAAAAGTCAGACATGACTCCAAACCTGTAACCCAAGCAGTGGGAAGAATAAGGTGACAAGTGATAGAACAGGACATCAGACACTCTCCTCTGGCCTGTGCTCTTATGCACATGTAAACACACTGGCACATGCACCACAACACACACACACACACACACACTCACACACACACACACACACACTTTCATATTATTATGTCAGGGAAGCTTACGGAGAGATATACATGTTGGAAATCTTAGATTTATAGATTACTGGAGATGGGGAAGAGTTAAATGATATCTTGTCTCTCATTAGGAAAGAAATATGTTCACATTACTGCCATCTTTTTGTCAGTGGGGTGGATGTGCTATTTTCATAATTCACACTCACACGGTGTGAAATAAGAGCAGACTCATCATGAACTTAAACACCTATGATATCTGTGGATCCTACATTTTTAATCAAGAATCAGAAGGAAAGTTACTCACATAAGAACTGGTGTAAATATTTGAAGTTATGAAATAATGTATGTTGATGTGCAAAAAAAGCACTCAACGACACATTTTCCCTCAACCCATCTTTGTTCAGATTCTGTCAGCAAGTATTCCTTAAAAATAAAGCAAGAATGCAAACAAAACTGAACTGTTGAGAATACAATGGGAATTCCTCTAGCTGTTTAAACTGTGCCTACTTGTAGGTATCATGTCACTCTGACTTAAAATCATTTAATTGGGTTGTATGAAGAGAAGATAGTTACACAAGTGCAGGTGTTCAAGAACAGAAGTAAAAGAATTGGAGAAAAGTAAGATGCTTGCATTGCTGAAGCACAGACTCGTGAAAATCTGTTCAGGAGGAACCGGGGTCCAGGGCAGCCTGTTACTTGGCAGATTGCCATTTTGACAGACGGTATAAAAGCCAAGCAGGTAGGAAACTTGGATTCCGAGAACTGCTTGGTGGCATGCTCGCTAGAATTCACCAGCTAATCAACAGACTCCCACACGTGTCTATCCGTCTGCAATGACCATTTCCTGAGGAAGGCTTCCATGGGCTCTGCACTTGATCAAAAGCAGGCTGTTGTCTCAAATCTGTGAAGTTAATTCCTTTGGTCTTGAGAGAAAATAACAGATGTTTATAAAAAAATCATCTTTCCCTCCAATATAGTGTTATCTGATAATTGAGCTATTTTATCCATTTTCTTTGTGAACAAGTAATTTGAAATAAATGAAACAATTTGAGACAATAATTTAATTATTGGAACTAGAGATCTAGTTCAGTGGTCAAGACAACTTGCTGTTCTTGCAGGTGACCTAAATTCAATACCCAGAACTCACGTGGTCATGGTCATTTATAACCATCTCTAACTCCAGTTCTCAGGGAACCACTGCCTGCTTCTGGTCCCCATGTTCAACAGATGTGCATGTAATGCACAGTTACATGCAGACAAAACACTCTCAAACATAAAATTATAAAAATAAATCTTGAACATTATTATTTAGATGGTGCCCACAAGCATGTGAGGAAGGATTCCTTTGAAAGGCAGAAATTTAATCGAAACAACTAAGAGATATGTAAGTTTTTAATTCAATAAATGTTACATAGTTAGTTTCTTGGAACTTCAATTTGATGCTGGTAAAATGATAGCAGTAAGACATCTCACCCTCAGAGATTTCTCAGAGTAGTATCTAGAAATATAGTAAATAACAGAATTATGTGTTTTCTGATCTTGTAGGAGGAAAAAACAAAGTTGTGCCCACTTACAGTTGGTTGTCAGTGACATTATGAAGTCAGAGTGTCATAGGATGTCACTTTTCCACCCTCATTGTTAGAAGGGATTTTTCCACAAACCCTTTGGCCTGGCCAGTGCTCCAGTTTCCCTTCATTGTAAGATGAAGAAAGGTGTTGGCATATGACAAGGCCATCTCTGTATTTTGTTTGTTTTGATTTAGTATACCCATCTCCCTAAAGCTCCTGAATTAGGAAAATTCAGGGTTCTTGTCTCCTTCCTTCTGTTCATCACAGAGCAGAAAAGCAAAGTCTGCACTGGTCGCCCCAAGCTGCCCAGAATGAAAGAAATGCTCCCATATGCAGCCCACGTACTTGGCTCCATTCCCAAGCCACTTTAGCCAAAATTGGCTTCATTAGGATTCAACGGGAAATTGTGGTTTTCCTCTGCTGGCTGTTGGAGACTACTGTGTCATGTTGAAAGTCACATAGGGGAGGGGATCTGTTGATCTCTGACCATAGGGAGAATTTCACACTTGAGAAATGTCGTGTAATATTAGTTATTTGAATGTCAGTTATTCATCTTGGATCCAGCTTCATTGATTCAGCACTCATGTGGAGTTAGCTCACTTAATAGAGGGGACAAGATTCCTATGGTGTAAACCATTAAGGTAGCATCTGATGAAACATGCTCATTCAACCCTATGCTTCCCCTGGTGGTGTGTCCATTGTCGAGACTGAGAAAACTCAGTGAATATCTAAGGCAACATGGTAATGGGTGTGCCGTGAGGGATTGTGTATAGTTGATGTTTATTTATCTATTTATTCATCATACTTTTTGCAGACCAACTCCACAGGTCGAATGGAGCAAACCAGGTAGTGAATTACCAAAGGGAAGAGAAATAAAGGAAAATTATGGAAAGACACTGAAGATAGAAAACATCTCCTACCATGACAAAGGAAATTATCGCTGTACAGCTAGCAATTTGTTGGGAAAAGCTAGTCATGATTTTCATATCACAGTACAAGGTATGTTCCCCATTAGGATTTAAATTTCTGCTTCAAAGAGAAAAATAAGTGTATTCAATTCACCGACCTTTACCTCAACAATGTATGTGTCAAAGTTGATAATTAGTTTAGAGTTTTAGTTGTAGTGTGGGTACTGAGCATAGTTAATTAATCAGGCTTATAATTGATCTCTGCAAACCATATGGAAGGCACAAATTCCAGGGTCTAGTTAAGTACTCATTAAACCTACCCTCCTGTAAGGTTTTATTGCATGAAATGATTTTATTATAATGTGCACATTATGCTCATAAATGAGGTCATGATTGTGAAATCAGACATTATTAGACAAGGATCCTAGAGGAAAGTTTGGAGTCTTTCCTAATCTTGTCACTCAGCTGGCTTGCTCATGATCACTGGGCTTCATTATTTTTATTCCTTGGGTTCTTTGTCAAAGAAATGATGGAATCAGAAGAATTGTCTTAGTATTATCTTTACTCCACCACTTTGTATTTTGTACCCTGGTATTAAGTATATCACTTACAGTGAAATATGAAGAGACTATATGGTGCAAATATTAATTATTTATTAAATACTATCAAAACACACTACATTCATTTTCTGACCATAAAAACTGAACTGTCTTTTGAACAGTTGAGATTTTCTGTATTTGTTGAATAATCAGGCAATGACATCACTCGCATGAAGTAGCAGCCACAGAAATTAGAAATCCTGATTGTGCTTGTAGTGCAGGAGCAGAGATTGCTTGATCCTGCTGTAATTTGATTGACACTGACTGCTTCCTGTGTGACTGGTCACTCCTTTGCTTTCTGTAGTTTACTTAAAGGTATCAATCAGATGAATGGAATAGTCGCTACATTGTACATTAGTATTATTTAGTGCTGTGTTAACTATGAGAACTTAAGTTTGTGCAAGGAACACTTCAGTAATGGCCTTCTAAATTACTGAGACAAGGCACAAATTTCACTCACAAGTAAATGTTACAATAATTGACTGAGTCATTCCCCTGTTTGGACTAACACAATTTCCTATCCCCTTCTATACAGTTTTCTTAGTTAAGGTGAGAACAGAAAAAAAATTTGAAATAAGGAATTCATTTTCTTTGGTTCAACAATGCAAAACATGTATAGGAGAGAACTCAGTGTTAGACATTAACATGAACATCTGGCAATAATAATAGATTTCTCTGACAATAAATTATTAAAAAAGATACTGAGAAAAAGTATGAAAGACATGTCTATAATTTTAGAGATTTTTTTTCACTTGTATATAATGTGCTATATCTTGTGAAGAATATCAGCCCTTCTCTCTCTCTCTCTCTCTCTCTCTCTCTCTCTCTCTCTCTCTCTTCTCTCTCTCTCTCTCTCTCTCTCTCTCTCTCCCTCTCTTTCTCCAGACATACATAATTATTAGCCTATTCTACTCTGAGTTGCTGACTCTTAGAAATCCTTCCAGATGGCTGCTGTGTTGCTACGGTAGCTGAATATTTTAACAATCTGGCCTCGGTTTTCTTGACTATTAAGACCAAGCTTTCAAAAGAATTGCAAATGTTGTAAAAAAATTATGCAAGTAAAATTAATCATACAACTTAAAATGTTGACTGTAGGATTCCAAAGAGATACAGGTTTCTTGAACAAATTACCTTCACGATTTGTAAAACAGATATTAATGGTGCTGAGATGTAAATATTTTTATGAAGAACATTGAAACATTTTGCTCTTGTGAGAAAATGCTAACTGTACACTCAGAAGCGTGTCTCAGCTTCTCCTTACACCTGCATGGGACACTGGACTGTCTTCAAGAAGTGTGTTCTAGAAGTGTTTTCCTCTCTAGGGTGAGAAAACAATAACTATAAATCTCACTAGTCATTACGAGAGAGTTCATCTTTATTACATCATCTTTTGTCTCCGTGTATCTTCCTCTTTCTTTTCATTCTTTTATTTGGAAACCCAAATTAAATCAGGACTGTCATAAGGTGGAAAAGCAGTACTATCACGTTGTGTGAGATTCTAGTCCATTATGAAAATATCTTGTGCGGCTATACAGAAGCACAGTTTGTTTTCTTTCCTGTTTGTGATTTTTTCTTCCCTATTCTGAAACTGAAATTTCCATGAGCTTGTACTTTACACTGCAGCAGGTTAAATATATAACCAGATTTCAAGTCAAATATCATATTTCCATGAGAAAATAGCTGTGATGTCTTAATTAGATGTAACCATATTTTCTGGGCACCTACAATACGTATTACCATATATATAGTAGCAAGAGGTGTGGTAAGGACCAGTGAAATGGCGTAGCACGTAAAAATGGGCTTGAGGCAAAACCTGAATTATATCTCAGGAGTCTACCTCAAGATGAAAAGAGAGAACTGATTCTGTAATGTTATCTGCCCAGGTACACTGTGGTGTAGTCACACACTCAAATAATAATAATAATAATAATAATAAAGAAAAAGGTGTGCGGGTATCACATGGAACAAATTCCAGACATCTGAATATCAGTCACACTTAAACTCATAATATAAAAGAAAATCCTTTACCAAAAATTTTTACGCTGCCCACTTTAGAATCATCTCAGGCTATTGATTTTTAGAAATATAATATGAATTATTTTTGCACATCTTTTCAATCCTTATTTCTATCCAAGATACAGTGTCTATAAGATGCCTTGAAGTGCAGCTCAGCCTAGTCATTGATACCATGAACAATAGCTTATATGGAAGCAATAATTTTTCCTAAGAAGTTGGTAGAATGCTTCGCTAATGTATACAAAGCCCTTGATTCAATCCCCAGCACACATAAACTGGGTCTGGTGGTGCACTCTTTTAGCTACATAGCAAGCTGAGGTCTATCTGCTACAATAAGAAATATCTATTAGGTTCCATGTTTCATAGATATTAAATTTCCAGTTTGGATCTCATGATAAACATTGTTAGATTTCTTATAATTTGGTATGGATTCATGCATTTGCAACTCCATATTGTTTACAATTATGACTAATTGAGTGAAATCTTTTAATCAATTGTCACATATGTTAGACAGGTGGATAAAAGAATGGGAGCCCATGGCTTCTTCCCCTGCACCTTTCAAGTTTACCCATCATTTCCTTCGTCTTAAGTCTCTTTTGTAATCTGCTTGACTAGATCTTACCCATCACATAGATATGTGATGTGAACTTTGGCAACTCCTGCTGGTTCTATAGGCCTGCATCTCAGCCATCCTGAGTTTCTCATCAAGCTACTGTCTACAGGCTGATGGTAATGTCTTTTTGAACCATGTAGCAGTTAACCAATATGTGATTTAAATCTATGTTGTGGAGGAGTGAATAACCAGATAGCAAGAATTATTTTCCATCCAAGGGACTTTATTTTTTTCTTATGACTTTTCCACTCAAGTCTTTAGATATGTATTAAGTTCTACTTAAAAACCCACCCTACACATCTATTCTGAGTCAGACATTGTGCCAAAGCAGGAAGGAACAAAACAGCAAGTATCAGCCTGGGCTCTCCAGAGATCACTAGTCTAAGGATACTCAGTGCTGACTTCATTATTGAACTACCGAATACTCTTGTAGTGAAGTCAAAAGCAAGAGTCTGAGGCTGTGCTTGATGTAAGGCCAGGTTTTAAGTGTCTCTCAAGTTTCATGCCAGTGTCTACATCTATTTGAACCAGAAGTTTAAGGGAGCTTAATGAAGAGAAACATACAGGAATGTGTAAGGGTTTTTAATGAGGAAGGAAGAGGCTAATGTATAGTGATGATTCCAACCAACTACCAAATGTTTGAAACTCAGGAGTCAGTTGATATATGGGGGTGGGGGATTTTGGAAATGTAAAGACTCAACTACCCAGAGGCTCTGTTCTGAGATCTATGGAGTGGCAGGATCAGGAAATGAGATTGTTTCACTGATGACCCTGAAAAAAAAAACAGATGAATTCTCCAAAGCTCAGTATTATTTCCATAAGGTCAAAGGTTAGATGAGATGATACCTCACCTTTTATTTAAACCTAATCGTGATATATCTTTACACACACACAAAGGTTAATGAAATTCTTGGACTGAGGATAGTGATTGGAAAATTGATTTTTCTTATAAGGGGGAATGAAAGAATATTTTCATTACAAGGTCTTTACTTTTACACACTTGGAACAAAAGAGTCATAGTTTCTTCTACTGAGAACACAATGGTTTGCACATTCATTTGCTTTTTGCACATGCTGGATTTTGGTAAGGTTGTATAGAAAGACCAAGGGAAAAATAAACCTGTAAAAGGAAAGGGCCTGGAAAGATGTCTCAGGGGTCAGAAGCATGTAATGCACTCCCAGAGGGACTGAGATTGGTTCCCAACAAGGATGTTGAGCAGGCACCCACTAATACATGTCCACCCCACATACAAATAAAAATTAACCTTTAAAATAATAATGTCACAAAGTCACATTTCCCTTCAGAAAGTGATCTACAGTTCTAATTTAGACATTTGTACTTTATGCTAAGTATCCCAATATTTTTAATCTGTTAAACACAAGTATTTAACTTGGAAATTAACAGTTGAGCCCACATCCTGTGAGGAGACTCTAAAGGAATGTCTCTGGCTGACACATAGACTTGCCAGAATTTGTATGCGTGTTTTCTTTTTGAGGAATTTGACTTTTTTTAATGTAAAATCCCCTTTCATTTCTTTACTAAAATGATTTAAGAGATATTTTCTCTTAGTACATGTGCACATGTTTAAAAAGTTTCCTCTTTGAATCAAGACAGAAATCTGAATTTCTTGAGAGAACATGAGTAAGCTAAAGTTGATGGGAATTACAGCTTCAAAGTTCTGTTAAGCCAATTCTGGGAATAATCATCAATCATGCAAATACGCCTGGAACATTGGCTCAGTGGTTAAGAGCACTGGCTTTTCTTTCAGAGGTCCCAGGTTTAGGTCTCAACATCAACATTGGTAGCTCACAATTGTCTGTAAGTCAAACCAAGGGGTCTGATGGTTTTCTTTCTGACCTTTAGGGGCACCAGGCAACCAAGAATGTGATACATAGCCATATATGCAGGCAAAACATCAATATTAGCAATAATAATAATAATATCTATGCACACTTCAAGTCTTGTACTCACTGTTGACATAGTGCTACTCTAATAGCAGCACAATATGAGAGCAATGTTTGAACTGAAGACACTTGTCTTGCTTTGTTCTCATACTCAGATTAGAGTTACACATTTGAAGTTTTATGTATCAAAAGATAGAAATCATTTATTTCTGTTTTTTTCTGCTCTGTTTCAAAACAAGAAGTCAAATGTTCTTCTCAGGTCCCCTCCCTGCCCTGTTGCAAGGAGAACACCTCTAGCAAATTATGTTTTCCAAGTTGATATGTTAAGGAAATTGTTATAGATAGGAAATGTAAATGCTATAGCCAATAATCAATTACTGTAATTTAAAAAGCTCTATGAGTCTATTTCTTGCATAGCAACATTTTCATCTACTTTGTTGCAGCTTGAGGAGAAACAGTAGCCAGTTCTAAATGAGTTACCATCTGCTTAGTCCTCATGTTTCTGCTTGTGAAATGTATAGTTAAGTAGCTAAAGCCTCTGTATATTTTTAGTATGTTGATTTATATACATGTTCAAAGTGTAATGTAAGTACACACACATAAACAAAGCGAGAGAGAGAGAGAGAGAGAGAGAGAGAGAGAGAGAGAGAGAGAGAGAGAGAGAGAGAGAGAGAGAGAGAATGAGTGCATAATATGCCCACCTTGCTTTGCAGAGCCTAACCAAAGGTGCTGCTATGGAATTCTTTGTGGTGTCTGCCCTCTTCTGGTAAATGGTTGAAATGCAGGTTGTTACAATGGTTGGATCATTTGCTATGGACACCCTTTCTGAAAATCTCTTTGTTTTGTGTTCAGAACCTCCACGCTGGAAAAAGAAACCTCAGAGTGCAGTGTACAGCACGGGGAGCAGTGGCATCTTGTTGTGTGAAGCAGAAGGAGAACCTCAACCAACGATCAAATGGAGAGTCAATGGCTTCCCGATTGAAAGTGAGTTTAAAGCAAACTAAAAATCCTGAGAGTGACATAGTGGGGAAGACAGAAATTGGATGGGATAGGATGTCATCAGACGGTTTGGAGATGTATGAGGTAGACCGTATGGGGATTTATTAGCATAAATACATTGTGCCAAAAAAATCAACAAGTGCTTGTCTTTGAGCAATTTGATAAATGGAAACCAGCACAGGGTAAGAGGCATGGATAACATTTATGCTCACACTAATTTAATTTTATGTATATAGCAGTGACCCACTGAGTAAATTTGGAAAAGGCTTAACACAAACCAACCCTGACTCCTGACTGTGGAGAAAGATGAAGGCACAAGTTGGAAGTTAAAACTTCTTGCACCTCTGCAACATTCCGCGTCCTGGGCTCTACCTCTGCCTTGAACATCCTTTGGTCACGCATGGCCTCCATGTTGTGTCCAGGACACATGTCAAATCTGAAACTCTACATGACACAACAGCTCCCAAACTGCCAATCACAACTCTAGGAAATCCTCTGGAGTCTTGTCCACATTCCACATTCGGTGGCCATGGAAAGATGGGAATGGACCCAGGTTAAGGGGCCAGTTTCTTCACTGAACCAGTGTTTAAGTCGTTAAACTTAATTTACACCTAAAGATGAGGTCATTCTGAAGGTATTTGTGCAGGCATGAAGATAGACCCATGTTCTTGTTAAGTAGCTCAGTGGAGAAAAAGAATATTAAGTGCAGATATGTAGCTCCCTTTTATTCCTTTGCCCTGGTCCCCAATATGAGACCGGCCTCCTTGTGGTTCACAAACCTAAGTCCTCCCAGGGCTGTGACTCTTCCCAGTTCTATGGCCTCAAGCTCATCAATGAATTCCCAAAGCCTGAGTTTCTCACACTGCAGATTGGAAGCAGTGGCAGTTGGAGTGTCTGAAGGCGATGAATTATCTGTCCCCAGACATGATTTATTTGCAGTGGTCTCTGATGGTTTATGAACTCTGGAGCTGCACTGCCTCTGTTTGCATGGCCATGCTAACATTTACTTGCTGTGTGACTGAGAATGTGACTTACCCTCTTGAAACCTGTTTCTTCAGAAGCAAAACAGAGACAAAAATAGCAGTGACTTGTGGGTTTGTTACATGGCTCAAGGAAAACACCATCCAAAGAATGTTTTTCATAGGGTGTGGCACATAAGAGCAACCCAGGGTGAAGGACACAGGGCAGTGAGGATGTTAGTTCCTGCTGCTTGCATCCCTGACCTGATACTGAAGAGCCCTAAGGGTGGCTTCTAGCAGCAAGATTTGAAATCTCCAGATTAGGGCTACTTTTTGACTTGGTCAGAGAAGTTACTGTTTGTGGTTTAGTGTGGTCAATATAGACACCCATAACTGGACAAAGCGCTGAGAATAATTAGCTCTGAGTCCTCATCCCGAAATGTGACATGTATATTCCCCTCTGTGGTCCACGGAATAGCACAGAAGAGCAATCTTGAAGCAATGTAACAGCACTGGAATGGGAGGAGAGCTGTGAAATGTTGTCTTCTGGACATGGTATGGCCATTGTACTCATGAACATACAGCACGTATTATTAACTATGGGTGATCTCTCAGTCAAAACTCCATCATGGGTGGGGGTGGGTGCTTTACAATGTATCGCCTCTAGCTAAAGAGTTATTGTTTTTTGATGAATGCTGAAAGGGAAGAAACATTTTTCTTTTGGTTATGCTCTAGTGGATAATCCCCACCTGTGTACATACAGACAGCACTAATTGTTTCAGTGAATCGGTCCCACCCATGTAAATACACACAGTACTTATTGGATTCAATAGGGTATAACAATATAAAAGAACACATAAATTTGGAAAGGGGTGATGCTGTTGAGAAATTTGTACACAAGAAAATAGTTAGGTACCGAGGACAGTGTAAGTTCAAATACAAGGTAGATTTATGATTTTAGAAGTGCAGACTTTGGTAGACGCTTTATAACTGAGCTGTATCCCAGTGATTTATGTGTTAAAGGAACTTTCTGGTCTCTGAATGAAGCCTTTAGCTCTATGAATGCAAATAATTGAAAGACACCGAGACCTCAGGTTGTTATAGTGGTCAGGTTGTGGATATTTCCAAAGTACAGTCAATGGACTTGTTAGTGGATGAAATGCTCAGGGCTCCATTGACAGGTAACATAGGAAGTAGTGAAACCAGTGGTGGAGAACAGGCTGTCCTATTAACACAGCTCTTGAGCACAGCTTTCTTCTACTATATGTACTAGCGTCACCGTGTGATGACTGATGGGCTGACAAGATTGGAAATCTCTTTGGACTTACACTTTTAGAAAGTCATGTTGCTTATGAGTCATTTCAGAATTAAGTCAAGTGACTACAGTGGTTTACACCTTTTCCATAGAGATGCATCCAGTATTTCTGAGAAAACCTTGGAAAACCAGATATTTTTATTCTTCACTTTTCAGAGGCAATGGCCGAGTTTCATGAGAGTTAAAATATTTACTTGAAGACACAACACAAGTAAATTCATGGCAGAATGGAACCTAGAAAAGAAAGAATTTGAGTAGAGTTCTCCAACCATATTGTCTTATTCTCATTGATCTTATGAAATAGAATCATCTAGTAAGAATTCTGAGTTTATGTCAGGACTGGTATATTTTGTTAGATACTATTAAAAGCTGTGTTATCTTAAGACTTTATAACAATTACTTTTTGACTAAATGTAGTATATTGTGAAGTTACTGCACACATTCCCAAAAGGAGAACTGTGTAAGGTTTAGTTGTTTTACATCCAAACCTGAGGATTTGGTCTTAATTCTTCATAATACTGTTTTTTCAAAACTGCCTTTGGGGCCTATGTTATAAGGAGAGACACGGGGGTAACAAGATTAGATTTCCCAGCCTGTATAATAGTAGAGGAATAAAGGAAGTCATCAGAGACTTCATCTCTTATAATGTCCTTTATGATTTCTGTCATACAGGACCTCAAAAGGATACATATCTTGTTAAACCTGTAGACATAGCTGATAAATTAACTGTAAGGTTTATATGAGCTTTCTTTTGTTGCTGTAACAAATTCACAGAAGCTTGGTCACTGGAATCAGTACAATTTTTCTGTTGTGTAATTCTGAAAGTTAGGAGGTCAATACAAGACTCTCTACATCTTTCTCACTTTCCCTCTCCCTTGTTACTCCGTCTCATTCTTTATTTCTATCTCCATTTCCTTTTCAGTTATTACAGGCTGCCTACAATCTTCACCTATGACTCCCTTCCTCCATTTTCATAGTTGATATCATTGCGTCCATGGCCATTTTCTCACCGTTATCCCTTTCTGTTTTTATAGCCAGATAAGAGTTTCTGATTTTCAAGAAGCAATGTAGTTACATGGGGCTCACCTGAAAAACAGCATAACTGCTCTATTTCAAAGTCCTCAGCCTTATTCACATCTGGGTGGTTGGATTTATTTTTCCCAGCTGAGGCACATAGTCATAGTTCTATAAGTGACAATTAGAACCTTTATTTCTGTCATTTCTGTCTATTGACAGGGAACTTTCATGTGTAAAATACCATTATTTGTACCTATTACAGATGTTTCCACAAATATTTACTCACTGTTTTGTTTTTGCCTTCTCTTTGGGTGTTAGTAGCACATAATACATTTGCCGTCTGCATAGATACAGACATCACTGCTGACTGAAGGAATGCAGGTATTGTGGTTCTAGTGAGAGAAAAAAATGTATAAAAAAGTCTCTCACTATGTAGCAGCTCTTGCTTTCCACACCATAAAGTTTAATGCAATTGTTATTTTATATGATGGAAATACAAGGAGGAAGAAATGATTTACTGATGTCATTTAAACTAAAATTTCTACAGTCATTGTCCTAAATGTTCTTCCTTTCTGTTGTGTCAGAGCAGGAGTTTATTTCGAGCCCAAACTGTTGTCAGATGCTGTACAGGATATTCGTTTTATGTGAAAGTGATGTTTACAAAGCCTTTTAATGCTGATATAGCAGGTTATGAACAGAGAAGGTGTCATAATGCATGGGCTATACCCAGTGAGATTCTTTGACTCTTAATAAGTACACAAGAATGCCAGGTACTCTAATATCCAACCAATAATTACATTCTGGGTCAATAGTAGTATGTTTTAATGTGTTTTTAAAATTTGTTTAAAATATAATTACACCCCTCTAATTATTTGTTTGACTTTCCTTCTTAAATTCACAGCTGCTTTAGTCATTATTGTTCTTTAGTCATCAGTGTTACACACACACAAACACACACACACACACATACACATATACAAATACAAGATATTGAGTCTATTCAGCGCTTGAACATGTGTTAAGACTGTCCTCTTAAGCATTTATCAAATTACTTCTTATCAATAAAAAATTGGGAGTCAGATATCAGGGTAAGAACCTGAGTGATCAGGGAAGTGGCAGCAAAGCAGCAGAGAAGTGACCAGTGACGGTCTTTCTCTTCTGTTCCTCTATCCAAAATGGCCGAGAGCCTCTCAGATCCCTGCCTTACTACTTCCTGTCTCTCTATCTGTCCTCAGTCCTCCAAAACCTCTATGTTTAATTTTGGTCAGCTAGTGGCTAGCTCCTCATTCTGATTCAAAGCAAGCTTTGTTATTAGAATGTAGTTGAAATAGCACAAAACAGACCACAATTCACACATAGATAGGAAATGTTAAGCAAAGTATATGTACTTCAGTTGATAAATGGATTACATAAATGTTGTGCCTATATACCAAAGTTATATAATTCATGTGTAAAGAAAAATGAAACATGGAATTTGGGGTAAGTAGATGTAACTAGAAAAATGTGATATTTAGTGAAGTAACTCAGACCCAGAAGGATAAACTGCACATATTCTTTCTCCAAATCTTCAAATGTGAGTAAATACCCTGGAGTAACTTCAGAAACCAGGGAAAAGAAAAAAGGAAGATCATGATAGAAAATAGGGTAGATTTTGTTGCTAAAATGTTATAGAAATGTCAACTACTCTCAAAAAGAAGATGAAGAGGAGGAGGGAGTGTGTGATGAAACAGGAAGAAAGAAGGAAAGAAAGAAAGAAAAAAGGGTCAAGGCTTGTGAGCTATGTATGTACTTGAAAGGACTAAATGAAAATGTAAACCACCCAAAATAATGGAATAAATCCAAAAGTAGGAGGAAGGAGGAAAAGAAACCAGAAAAAAATGTTGTCAAGATAGAAATTGGTACCAGTTAGGCTCTATTGTGTTGCTAATCACTGGGTAGCATCTAGGTGCAGATGCTGAAGTTTGAGTCCTCTCACAGAAAGATTCAATGTCAAATGGGTCACCTCCAGTCTTACTCTGATCGGGGATACAAAGAAGTAGTGAGTTGTTGGCCAACCTGGGATCTCCTAATATTTGTTTAAAATCATAATTTGATAAGATGTTGCAAATGCAAAGGGGTCTAAAATGGCACCCACGTTGATTTGAACAAAATGTGAAGACTTGACTTTAGTGAACTATTTTTCACCCTAAACTGGTCTTAAAATATAGATACTGTGTGACACATTTAATAAATGGTCCTTAAATATTTTATATTCTGTTCTTTATCACACTGAGGATGTCTCTTCTCTTTCAGATCATCCATTTCCTGGTGATGTCATGTTCCCCAGGGAAATCAGTTTTACAAATCTACAGCCAAACCATACTGCTGTGTATCAATGTGAAGCCTCAAATATCCATGGAACCATCCTTGCCAGTGCCAATATTGATGTTATAGGTGAGCTTACCCAAGTATTGACTTAACCTGCTGTTTGACAAAGGAAAATGATCAAAGTTATAGTCACGTGTAAAAACTTTTTATGGGCGTGTGCATTAAATTCAGTGTGGGAAAGTACATGTTTGCGTTCATTTGGAGGCCCGAGGTCTACCTCAGGTAACAATTCTCAGGTACAGGCGTCATCACAGGCCTGGAACTTATGAAGCCTTGATTGTTTTCCATGGAGCATCAGGGATGCCTGTTACTTAATCCCTACTGGCAGGATTACACTTTTGTGCCTTCTAAAATTTTTTTACACATAGGTTTGGGGGAATGAAATTCACTGACTGAACTATCTGTGGTCTGAAATACCAACTGAATTTTTGACACATAAAACCTGGGGAAGAAAATCAACATATGGTTCAATTTATATGTAGACATTAGACCTCATACTTAAATTATGCTTTCAGAATGTGCTGCTTTTAGGTAATATCCAAATTCAGGAACATATACTGAAATGCTCAGCCATCTCCTGTTCTTATGACCATGTCAAGAATATAGAAAATGTCCTTTGTATCTAATGCTTGCAGAAAGGTTTAAATTTTTATCTTTATTTCTGACTAGATGTTGTCCCACTGATAAAAACTAAGAATGAAGAAAATTATGCAACAGTGCTTGGATATAGTGCATTCTTACATTGCGAGTACTTTGCTTCACCCAAGGCCACCGTGATTTGGTAAGATTATTTGCTGTTCTATTAAGGAAATGGATGTGGGGGATTCTTGAACCATGGTTTGGCAGCCTGTACTGTATATCCATGTTTCTCCAGAGAGCCAATGCCTTGATAAATAAGGAAAGAGATTTAATTACACATCCCTTCAGAAAACATTGGCTAGAATTCTGGGATTTTTTTTACATGAAGAAATATAAAGAGCCATTTGTGTTAATAAAGCAAACAAAGAATTAAAATGATTCCTAAGACAATTTTGAAGATTGTCTTGTCTGTGATGGGTCTATCTAAGGGTTGCTATGGTTTCCGGGCTATCTGATTATTTATCCTAACCTACAGTCAATTACAAACATGTTTATGACTTTTTAACATTCATTTTGATTTTAATAATGTTATTGTTGTTTAAGTCTAAACATCATGATAAGCATATTCTATGCTAGTTGCTTTACTGATATAGTTTGGTGACTTTACTGTGACATTATTGTGTTAGTCCTCTACAGGGCCTGGAGTAGGAACAAAGTAGTGAGGTCAGACCATGCAAAATCAGAGTCACAACTTGTATAATTCAATTGTGATTTTTTCCCACTGTGTACTTTTGGTTTTGACTTTTAAAATATTTGATTAAAATATTGTTTATCTTGATTTCTGAAATGCTTTTGAATTCTGCATCTGAGCCAAGTCACATGCAAGTCTCAGCCTAGCCCTCACTTTGTAGAACCTATGCCAGTGGCCCATTTGTCCTCTGCAATTGTGAGCACAAGCAATCACTTACTGTGAAAAGCACAGGGTTAATCAGGCTGTGACACAAAATGCTTGGAGAATGGATGAATGTGAGAGAAAATGAGCCTGAGGTTGATAGGGTAAGTGTAATGCATGTCCACAGGAGAGGCAAGATTTCCTGGCTTGTAATATTTCTGAATGACCAATGTTCTCCTAGGACAGCGGGAGGTTGGGAAGGTTCATTATCTGTTTCAATTACTAGCTCTCCCATTTGCTAGCCCGAAGCAATCATTAACTAAGGACTTCACCATAAATAAGCCAGAAAATGTTTATTACGCTTTGAGGACACATGTAAAACAGTGCTAGAAACTATGAGACAAACAGAGTCAACCCTACTAGGAGGGAATGCGGTTCTTTTTAGCTATAGTCTGTTGATCAGCTCTGATATACATCCTAGATAGTTCTAAGAGAGAAATTAGTTTCCACAAGAACTGTCAGATGCTCTACCAAGCACACAAAGAAGGCCTAAGCCTGGATGATGTCAGTAAACAGTATCTGAAGAGTACAAAACTATGCATCAATCAAAAATGACTCATTTCTGCATCTCTACAGGGAGGTGGCTGATGAAGCACATCCCCTTGAAGGTAGTCGGTACTGTACCCATGAAAATGGCACACTGGAAATCTACAGAACTACTGAGGAAGATGCAGGATCATACTCTTGTTGGGTAGACAATGCAATGGGAAAAGCTGTCATCACAGCCAACTTGGATATTAGAAGTATTGCTATTTTTCTTTTGCTTTCATGAGTTCTCACATGAGTTCAGTTTCTCTTTGTTTTCTCAGACAAAGCAGTGCTATTTAAGTTTGAACACCTGTTGAAGTTCCTTTGACAATTTTTCAAAGGCCACCTTTGCGTTTCATCTGAAAGACTATTAGTAATATGGCAGGGTGTGATCATGGATTTGGGCCACCTTAGCAGGTGGCAGTGTATTGTTAGATGATGGTCGATGACCATCAATAGCTTAAGAAATTTCTACTTGGGTATATTTTGAGATATATGTTTTATTCAAGCATTGAACTTGAGGTATTACCACACATCAGTTTTGTTTGAGCATTTAACAAAATCATAGAAGTTTGATCTCAGAAAAAAATAAAAAGCAGTTTGACAGCTTGGGCAGGCTTTTCTTGTTCTCTGTAAATTAGAAACATCCTTGTCAACAGGCTTTACTCTTCCATGAAGTCCTTGGAAGCTATTGATAGACTCAGGCTTCAGTGATGTTTTTATTTTAATTTTTTTAATCTTTGAGCTTCATCGTTTGACAGTGACAATTGCTTTTGTCCTAAACTATTACTATGCTCCCTGACTCATTCAGCAAGTAATGCCACAAGTAAATATTGAATGTTCACAATGTCCTCTCTCCTAAGCTCTTCCTCTTCTTCTGAGTAAGAAAACAAGTGCAGGCCTCCTTTTTTTCAGGGCTTATAATTCTTATCCTCCATGTTTGCGTGGATAGTTGGGATTCACCATTTATTTCAGCTCTTGTCTCTGATATAATAATGAGTATGTGAATATAAAATTGCCAGTTTTCCTTATAACATGATTATATATCTGGGTGCTTCAGCATGAGAAATTGTATTACTTTCAACTTCTAGAAACATTTGTTAGCTCATACTTTAGTTGTTTACTTTAGCAAGGAATGGTAAGAAAACTTTGCTAACATTAAGTGGTGTTTGCACCTAAATTTTCTCCAGTTTAATGTTAGAAGATTACATTGAGAGACAGTGTATGTAAATTTCACACTGTCATGACAATTTTGATTGGTAAGATTGTAGACATTTCATAATAGGGTGAGCTGTAGTTCTAACTAAAGCCTTTGTTTGACTGGAAAATATGCAGATGCTACAAAGCTGAAAGTTTCCCCAAAGAATCCTCGCATCCCTAAATCACACATGCTTGAACTATACTGTGAAAGCCAGTGCGACTCACATTTGAAGCACACTTTGAAGCTGTCCTGGAGTAAAGATGGAGAGACTTTTGAAGTTAATGGCACAGAAGATGGCAGGTAATTACACTGCTATGAAAGGACATTGGTGTGTGTGTGTGTGTGTTGTGTGTTTAAGACCTCACATTAGAAAAAAAGTCTCAAAATTGTTCACACTCATTCAAATACAAAAACTGATTCAAATGTTTCTTCCTCAAATTAGTATCCAAAAGGTCTTAAAATATTTTCTCTATTTATTTTATATGTTCTTCTTCTTCTTCTTGCTTTTGCACCATACTTTTTATAAAGCACACTTTTCTCTCAGTGCAGAAAATAGAAACTAGTTGTGACATGCAGATTAACTGCATAGGTTTGGGGACTTCCAGAACTATTGAGAAGACTGGAAGCACAAGATGTCAAGGGTGTTGCTAACGTTTTTTTTTTAAGGGGGCGGTTCTTGCTCATGGGCAGTATGTCCATGGTCCAGGTATCTGAAAACTTCTGTCTCCTCCTGAGACACCCTGCCCCTTTATCCTACAGGACAGACCAACTATTGCTACCCCAATGTCTGCCAGAGCCACTGTCCACACTGCCTCCTAAAAAGGCAGTGTACAGTCCTTTTACCTGCCAGTCTTACACGAGTTCTTCTCACCCATAAATATCCCGATTACATCTAGTTATCATCCTATCACAGCCCATTGCCAACATTACCTGGCCCTTCTATATGTAGGAGTAGCTTTCAGAATCCTAGGCAGATACCCAAATCTGTGTGGTCAAGTGCAAGGATATTCTATTTGAATCCCATGGCTTTATTTATGATGTAGGTTATATGTACAGTACTTTTAATACTCAATACAGTATGGATGCTCACCAAACAGTCATTATACAGTATGATTTAAAGAATAGTAACAAAAATACACCTGTTTGGTACAGATGCAAGTCCCTATTATCCATTCATAATCAACTGAATCTGTGAATCTGGATCTTATATATACAAAGAATAAAGATAAATTTCTGAGTATTCTGAACAGGAAAAATACAGAAGATAGAGCAAAGAGGAAAGTTTGAATGACTGTTGAGAATCACTGGAGTGTTAGTGCAACAAAAAAAGAAAGGGATCAATAGAACCTAAGAGAATCAGAAGAGTCAGAATGCCTGCTTTGTCTGTTAAAACACACAAAGATCCGTTCTGTTTCTGCTTGTATTATCTTTGAATGAGAGCTAGGAATTTATCATTTTGAAATCATACATGCAGGCAGAACACTGTATTTATAATAAATAAATAAAAACGTCATAAAAAGAAGCCAAATGTCATCTGAAGTTACATAGTATCTCTGAAGGTCTGGAGATAGACCAAGACCTCTTTCAATTTTATCTCAGCAGAGTGTTGGTTAAAAGAATGGACTCAGATTTGGTGGTGTTCAAATCCCAATGCTGTCACTTAATGGATTGAGGCCCTCACACTATCTGCTTCATATCTTTCTACCTTCACTTTTAAAATCATGACTAGATGAAAAAGAATCAAAAAGCTAGAGCATAAGATTATTGTAAATTAAGATTTGATGGTCTTAGATGATACAGGTAACAAATCATGGTTCACTGTTCTTTCTCGGACCATTCATTTGTCATTTCTCCAGCTGCTCCCTTTCACAACTCTTACTTCATTGGCCTCATTCTTTTCATGTCTCTGTATGTGTACAAATGCCATTCCTTTATGCAAAGGTATTAGTTTCAGCTGTGACCCATAACTTATTACAGTGTGATTCTTCCCCACCAGTAATTCCCAGTACTGACTGACAAATATTCATTAAAAATTGATGTAAGACTGAGGGGCACTACTCCAGTAAAGAGTCAGTCACATATGGTTCAATACTCTTTCTCATTCTTAAAATTTTTTTTCATTTTATTAATTTGGCATTAAAACTTTCAATTATGTAAGACGATCTGTCACACTTTCCACAAAGAAGGCATTGCTTACAGTATTTTTCACCTGAATAGCTTTTGCTGTGAATATATTTTAAATTTATGGTACTTTGTGTAAAAAAATGAGAATTCCTGTTGATAATATGCAATATGCCTATAAGTATAGACTAAAAGATAAAATTGATAAAGGAGTGGGGTTTGTGTGTGTGTGTGTGTGTGTGTGTGTGTGTGTGTGTGTGTGTGTGTGTGTGTGTGTGTGTGTGTGTGTGACGAACTATTGCAAACTGGCCAATGAATTTTTAAAAGCTATTTGAAATGATTTGCAGAAAAAGTACAGGACTGCCACCTAGTGTTCAAATACACAAAATGCTTCAATGATTACATTTTGGACTATAGCTATTAGAGGACAGGGGACGATCAAAACAGATATTGTCAGATTTCATTATAATATTCTGGCTCTGTGGAACTAGGTTGGGTTCTAGAATCTTCTTTTTTTTCAGAAGCATCCTCTTCCTTGATTCTGTATAACTTCCCTGCTCATAACATAATAAGTATGTAAACACCAGCACTTAGGAGGGAGAGGCAGGTAGATCTCTGTGAGTTCCAGGCCAGCTTGGTTAACAGAAAGAGTTCCAGGACAGTCTTGGAGCCAGAAGATTACACAGAGAAGCCCTATCTTCAAAAACTAAAAACCAAAAACAAACAAAAAATTCCCAGCTCTGTTAGTATGATGTGATTCTTAAACATGGCAACAGGCCCAGACCTCAGTCACAACCGCATGGGTCGTAGATGATTGGATTTTGTAATTTGTAAAAATGCCATCCCATTTAATACTGTGTGGCCATGTGCGTACACTGTGAGACTGTATTCCCAGTTTTCATCTGTGACCCTCTCTGGTAAGATTTGCATTGTATGAACTGGTTTCTTCACTCTGCCTTGAGTCATTTTCCATGAAGGAACTTGCATCATGGCTTGTTAAACAACGGTCTTTCTGCTGTTGGAGATGTTCTGACCCTCATCATGTGCTTTGTGTTTCCTCCTCCGCCAACAGAATAGTGATTGATGGAGCCAATCTGACCATATCTAACATCTCAGTAGAAGATCAGGGTATTTATTCCTGTTCTGCTCAAACTGCTCTTGATAGCATTTCTGAGAAAACTCAAGTAACTGTCCTTGGTAAGTGAAACCAGAGAGAATCTCTGCGCATGCTCCCTGTAACTACTTAACTTCCTTTGTTTCTAGGTGTTAAAGCCAATGATTTCTTGAGCCTCTGTTCTTAAAGTAAAATTTGACTTTTGTTTGTTTGTTTGAAGTCCAACTTCGCTTTTAGATCATTTCTACTCTTCTCACATAAAAGAAGTTAATTAATGCTTAATTCCTTTTCCCTGTGTGGGAAGTTTGCCTGTAGCAGCAGGAGGTAAGTGAAGAAAGAAAATCAAAGGTCTCAATCCACCTTACTTCCTCTTTGGAGAAGTGTGTCTGAGAATAGGGAAGGGCTCTATAGAAGCTTGGGGAATGGAAATGCCCAGTGGTGGATGCTTGGTGTTTCTACTCTACTCCAGAACCTTAGGTCGATCTCCCAGAGCCCCAGGAAGTTGAGTATGGACATGAAGTATTCTGTAAAGGAATATATTTGAATTTTTAAGTACTAATTGGAAAACAATGTGCACACTTCACTAGTGCAATCAATGCAATTACCCTAAAATCATCAGTGTTTATAGCCCTCAGACTATCTACTGGCTGCTTTCCAATTGCCTTTCTCTATTGACATACCGCCAGCTCTTCTACCTGTAAACATGCCCTATATGAACAACACCAGCAAAACATTTAAACTGTAGCTTTCATTTGTTGCTACAGGTACAGACAGCATCCCGAGAAATGTGGAGGGAGTTCACACCCCTTCTTATCTCCCTTTATGTAGGCTTGCTGAATCTCACTGCCAGGCCATAGCTCCTCCAGGAAAGGTTCTCCTACACAATTCCCTCTGAAGGGATCCTCCTACCATTAGAATTTCAAGCCAACCTCACAAACAGATTCTGGATATTCTTCCCATATGCATTTAAGTAGATGTTCCTGCTAACACCTACTGACATTTCTCAATGTAATGAGCTAAATATTACCTATGACCCTGCCAGCTTCAGATAGCTTAACAGTTTCCATCTGTGCAAAGTGAGAAAGCTACTGTTGAATTCCTTTATGTGAAGCCAATAGCTACTAATCTGAGTACAATTAAGTACAACCTACATTGTAGCAGGTATAGATTTAGCATGAGATGTTCAGCTCTAGGTAAGTGAGCTTGTTCAGGACTCTGCAAGTGGAAATATTTAATCCTTTATTAGATATGCTAGCAGAGTTTGCAAGTTATGGAAGCTGAGCATCTGGTGAGCTATGCTGCTTCTCAGGCATCATGAATACAGAACATCTGGATACATGAGCTGTCCTGCTCAGTATTTTGAGTGGTGGCAGCAATGAAAGATTGGCTTTCTGTTGTTGGCACCCACCTTCTGGACTTGACTGCAAATTTTAAACTTCACCCTTATCATTAGTCTTCCATTTTCTAACTCCATGAATTTTTGGTAATTTTAAATAAACAGTTGCTATGACCATAAATACTGTTTGTGTACATGGCGATCTCATAACATTTTAGTAATGTTTGAAGAAATTTAGATCAGAGGGGATGACTTTTTTTAATCTTCTCCTTTGGCTTTAAATTACATTTTTGTTTCAATATCTGATTAAAACATATCAAGTTTAATGATAAAATAATTTTGGACATAAGTATAGCTTCTAAAGTATTCTATCATAGAAAACAATATTTTAAAAGCCTAGACATAAACAAATTTGCTTAGAAGTTGTTTACAGAAATTTTAGCACAAAAATATTTTAAGAAGAAGTGGAGGGATGGCTCAGTGGTTAAGAGCATTGACAGCTTTTCCAGAGGTTTTGAATTCAATTCCCAGTACCCACATGGAGACTCACACCCATCTCTAATGAAATATGTTGCCCTCTTCTGGCCTGTAGTGCAGACATTTATGCAGGTAGAAGTCTGTATACATGAATAAACAAACAAATAAATAAATATTAAAAGTATATTTTAAGAAACAGTTTTCAAAATCTTTGCTTTTCTGGTTCTGTGTGATGTTGGGAGAAGTTAGATTTTCATCTCAAGTAAAACAGGGTAATTAGGAAGGGCAAGGGAACCTCAGGACATATTGGATTCTGAGCAAATCCCAAAGAGAAAGTAAATTCTTCAAGCTCATAACTAATAGAACACTAGTGAAGAAATGCAATTTGTGGGGAGAGAGAACTGGGCTGAACCTATAGTGTTTTGTACCCCTGGCAAGCTATCTGATCATGAAGCCCTATCCTGGGAAAATACTTTCTAATTGAAGTACCTGACCTTTGAGTAGAGTCATGTGCCAAACTTTAAAAGTAAGCAAGTTGCATTCTGAACTATAAACAGTGTTTTTTGTCAATGTACACTTCACAAGAATTTGCCAAATAGTAAAGGCCAGCATGGACAACAGCTTTACTGCGTCCTCCAAGCTAAAGCACACATCCTTGAATACTTGAGAATATTACATCAAATTTTGAAAGTAAAGTTTATTTAAGATAAGATTTCCCTTGTATCATGGAAACACATATGCTCACATGTATCAGAAATATTCATGTACCTTAACAATTAAATGTATGTCATTGCCTTTAATTTATCAGTTTCTGTTATATTTGGCACTGCTCAAAATGCATCTTCTATTATAAAAATATTTCTCACATTTTGCAGACACCAGGCCATCCTGTTAAAGATGCTGTAACATGCATAGATTTGACTGTCATTAACTACAGTAAAATCCCAAATCAATTGCAGAAGAGCCATGCAAACATCACAGTCCCTGTCTTGTTTATCTATAACTATAGGGCATAATTTTATTAATTTAATTGAATGATTATATGCATGATTGAAGTGGCAATATGTTTCACTTTCTCATTTAGTCATAAAACACTTATGTGCAAGCCACCGTGAACAATACAAAGATTAATAAGACATCCCTTCTCTTAGAGATACGTTAATCCCACAAAGGAGAAAACTTGGCACATAGATCAGGATGAACGATGAACTGGAAGAAATCAGTGATCTACTAGAGACCCATCATATATCCTAACACTAACAATGCAAAAATCATCAGGTAGGCTAGAAGTTTGCAAGTGCTCAATCTGGGCATCTCTCCTTCAGTAAGCCAGAGATGTAGAACAGGTGATATTCCTTGTTAAAAATTCTCTGGACATTTGTATGGCCTGTCAGTCTTGCATAGCCTCTTGAAAACTACTGAGACTAACAAGGAAATGGGTATGGAGAAGACCTCATTTGAAATAGAAGCTATGGGGCTGCCAAGATGTGTATAGCTCAGCAGTCTCAGAAAGGAAGGGAGATTGCAGATGTGTCCCAGCATGGGAATCAGGGCAACAAAGCAGCAGTCTGTACTTTCTTTATAACTGTCATTTGTTTCTATGCCAAGTCTTAAGATCATGTTTGTTTATAAAGAAACACAGCGGCATGCCCAGCTGACATGCCCAGCTGGGCAAATTCTCAGGCAGTTGTAGCAAGCTTTCTCACCTGACTTTCTTAGCCCACCAGTCCACAAATAATGACATGGAGACCTATTATTAGTTATGAAATTTTTGCCTTTAGTTTAGACTTGTTCCCAACTCTTATGACTTAAATTAACCAGCTTTTATTAATCTACATTTTCCACATGAATTTTTTTCTTCCATTCTGCATGTCTGATTTCCTCCATGTCCCGCTCTGGCATCTCTTTCATGCCCAGATTCATCTCCTGTTTCTTTTTCTCTCCCTGAAAAATCATACCTATCCTCTCCTGCCTAGTTATTTTTCATTCATATCTTTATTAAACCAATCAGAAGGCACCTTGGCAAAGACACATCTTACAGTGCACAAAAAAAATTATTCCATAACATGTAGTTTCTTGATATTTTCTTGTTATTTTTAGGCATCACTGACAAAAGTCAAATATTTTTAAGGTTCAGTTACCCTTTGAATCAGTGCCCATGAGAGACACACACTCTCACGGAATTAAAATAACACAGAAAGAAGAGGAGGTGTTGGGGGAGTGGATCTGGTGGGACAAAGCTGAGAGGACTGGAGGGAGGGGAAGCCATGGACAGGATGCACTGTATAAGAGAAGAATAAACAAATAAAACTTGAAAATGTGCTTTGTGAACTTTAATACTAAGTGTATAAAAGGACTAATTTTTACTGTCAGCCATGTGCATCTGTCCTCAGAGTGGAGAGGGAACAGGTACCCTGGAAGTTTTGACTATTAATTCCTCTCAGGAAGCTGAACTCGGCTTGAAAAGGGTGGGGCCTGCCAAATGGAACCATCTCCCGCATCCTCATTTCTCCTGTAAGCTGTTCACTGTTATGTTGCAGCTATCTTTTGTTTTTGAACAGGTGTTCCAGATCCTCCAGGAACCCTTATCTTGTCGGAAAGACAAAATAGGAGTGTTCGGCTGTCCTGGGAAGCTGGAGATGACCATAACAGCAATATCAGCGGTAGGAAGGTTTTAAATGACCTTCATCTTTACCCAACAGAGTCATAGCTATTTTAGTTACAATTGATAGATTGTACTTCTTCTTGAATTATATTTGTGTATTATTATTATTTTGTGTGTATGTGTGTTTATCTTCATACATGTCTGGTAACGACATGAGTGAAGTTCCTAAGGATGTCAGAGGAGGATGCTATATATCTTGAAACTAGAGTTGCAGATGGTTGTGGGATGCTATGAGGGTGCTGGAAAGTGAATCCGGGTTCTCTGTAAGAACAGCAGGTGCTCTTAACTGTTGAGTCATTTCTCCATCCTCTGGATTAATCTTCTTAAAATTCTCATAAACTTAAGTTTTTGTACAAGTATGTATTGTTGACCATATCCCCCATATTATCTTACCCTCCCTTCTATAACCCATCTCCTGTTAGTACCTTTCGTCATATCTAGCTTGACAATTTTAATTCTATTTTCATGTCACTTATATGTACATGACTTTATGTATTTATATAAAACCCAAGAACTGTGAATTAAAATGGACAGATGACTTAATTCACTTAAGATGATTTCCTCCACTTTTATTCATTTTTCTGTAACTGCCATGACTTTTTTCTCTTCAACTTTTTTTGTTGTTTTGTTGTGTATTTGGTGTTTGCAAGTTCCTGTGTATACAGGTGTATATGTGTACATGTGTACACATGTGTGTATGTGCATGCATGTAGGTCAGAAGTAACCCTTCAGAATCATTCCTTAATACTGATTACCTTTTAGGTTGTTTTATTGTTTTTGAGAAAGAATCTTTCATTGGCCTGTGACTTATCAAGTAGATGAGGCTAAATGCCTAGGAACCTTAGGGATTCTTGTATTTCTACCTGTCCCTTACTGATTACGATTGTACACTACCAGCTATTATGTGGATTTTGAGAAGTGAACACAAAGCTTCAAGTTTTCAAGGAAAAACTTGACTTTTGTCAGTCCCAATATCATTTACCTTGTTTTTCTGTTTTAAGCTTTTAATGTTGCAAATAAATCTTAGTAGGTCTTTAACAAATTCAATATGTTCTAATGGTTTGTTCATATTCTTACCTAGAGTACATTATAGAATTTGAAGGGAACAGAGAGGAACCTGGGAAGTGGCAGGAGCTAACTAGAATCCCAGGAGAAGAAACAGAGGCTGTATTATCTTTGGCTCCATACGTGAGATATCAGTTCAGAGTCATAGCCATAAATGAAGTGGGGAAAAGTCACCCCAGCCAACCATCGGACCATCATGAAACTCCACCAGCAGGTATAGATGGCCTCTTTGTATAACACCATATTTTACATTAGCCCATTTTTTTGTGTGGGAACATGTTTTTCTTTAAGAAAAAGAAGGTCAAATATGTAATGAAGGATTTTAGATTCCTTCAAATAATTTGAAAAGTTTTATAAGTTAGCAATGTAAAATATTAGAAGAGCATTTTAAAATTTTTGAGTTGTGTAATTGTTTGAAAGAGAACAAAAATTGTCATTGGGGCAATTATGTGAGAACATATTACTTTGAATAGTTTTAAATAGCTAAATGTCATCTTTGAAGCAGATTTCATCATGTAAACTCTAAATAAAAGTTCAATATTGCCGGGCGTTGGTGGCGCACGCCTTTAATCCCAGCACTCGGGAGGCAGAGGCAGGTGGATCTCTGTGAATTTGAGGTCAGCCTAGTCTACAAAGCGAGTTCCAGGACAGCCTCCAAGACAATACAGAGAAACCCTGTCTCGAAAAACCAAAAAAAAAGTTCAATATATTGAAAAGACATGGATTAAAAATCTAAAGAAATTCTTTTAGCTCATATGAACTCTACAAAAAATTAAAGCTATGTGCTAGTGTTATGTCTTATGCATTTGACATTTTTATATTTCCATATTTATCTAAACCATCATGATAATTTTATAAATAATCAACAGAGATAGTGTAAACAGTATATATTATGGAATTAGCATTGGGTAGTATCATGGTCATAATATGGTGTTTGCTTTTCCTGGAGTAAAATAGGCATGGGGCAGGTATGATGTTAGTTTGTACTGGACACAGGGACTCAGTGTTAAAGTTCTTGTTAGAACGTTCCTTAACAAAATGTATTTGCCTAAATGTATTTCATCTGTGTGTTATGTACTATTTAAATTTGATATCCATAAAAGTTGTTTTTTGGTGTTGATACATGAATTTCAATTTCATTCTTCTATAGGCATATATTCACAACATACACATCTCTCAATACTTCTGACAGAAAAGTGCAGTTTGAAAATGAAAACGTATATTAAAGCAGGATTAGATTTTTAATTAGCTGGCTTAAATTTAAAATGTACTTAGTAAATCATGTACTGTCCACAGCATAGAGGTTATAGGATTCTAAGAATGCTATTTTACTCCTTTTAACAAAATATATCATCTTTGTAGAAATGAGATATTTATGGATATTAATAAACAAAATTATTCAATTATTTGTTTTTTTGAGGAGTTGGGTAGAGTTACATGCTGTCTGACCAACTGGTTACTACAAAATGTAAAATTATTTTTAATGCTTTTCATTTCTCAGCTCCAGACAAGAATCCACAGAATATCAGAGTTCAAGCATCCCAACCCAAGGAGATGATTATAAAATGGGAGGTGTGTATTCCCTAAGGTGTTCATGTGTTTCTCTGGGCTATTTATTCCTTTTAAGTAGGTTTGCTAACTGTAATGACACAATAGCATTTTTTAAGAACAATGAGATAAGGTTGGGGAATAAAACTAAATTTTGATTTATTGTCAGTGCTTTAAGATTACAGAAGTTAGAATTTGCTGTAAGATAGGATCAGAGATGTAACTCACTGCTTTAGTACTTGACTAAAAAGAATGAGAGCTTGGGCAGGCTCTTTTCCAAGAACTAAAAGGAAAACAAAAGGAATACATGTAAAATAGGGATTAATTCTAAGAAATGATTTGACAATTGATAAATTGATCTAGATGAAATCTATTACGGGAAATTTCAAATTTCTAGTCCTTTATTCCAAATATATTAGATGTTTCACAATGAAGCTAGAGTTAAAAAATACTTCTTGCCACATGGTCTAATAAATATGATATAAATACACCCTCCAAAAATAGGAGCCATAGGTCCTACAGGCATTTATTTCTGATTCTGATAACAACTTCAGCATTTCTCTACTTTAAACACAGACATTGAGAGCCTTCCATTCCTCACACTATTAGAAATGTATCACCAAGAAATATTCCTAAATCAAACTACTCTTTGACTCTGGCAAAACAATTTATATCTGCTGAGATAACATCCATGATAGTACTATTTCATCATATAATTCCCAAGTTTCTTCTGGAACTTGGAGCTATGATGTAGATATATCAACTGGGCCTGGGCACCTCACAGTCATCTGTTCTCCATATTTGGCTGGTTGTCATTTTCTCCTGGAGGATGAGAGCTACAGTTATCTTCTGGCATAAGGACAGATATTGAAATACAGTTGGGAATTACACTTATTTAGTAAATTGGTGGTAGTAGGTTCTCCACTAAAATCCATGACTTTACTAGCTTCAGCAAGTTGGTTAGGTTTCCAGTACCAGGGATAATTCTCTCTTTCTGAGTAGTACTTAGGGACAACCTGTAGACAAATAATTACAGGCAACTAAGGAATGCTGTGTGGAAGAAACAGTCTTCCCCATGAATGAAAATCCAACCCTAAGTGGTTATTTAATGCAGAGTGGTCAACCCTGAGATATATACATACAAATAAAACTAAACCAATAGAACAGGTTGTATTTATATATTTACTATGTACCAGTAGCAAATAAAGATAAAAAAGCTATGATGTTGAGAGAGAGTAAGACGGGGGTCCCTTAGAGAGGTTGGAGAGTAGAAAAGGACAATGATGTCATTCTACTTTACTTAAAATTTGTTATATTATAGTGTGGATTTAGATCATCAAAAAGGATTTTTTAAAAGAATAGCTCTTGCTTGATAGTTTTTGTTACTTGTTCTTAAGCATGTTTAAATGAGTTTTAAAATTTATTTCAATAGCATATCTAACTTTAAAGAAAATGCATAAATAACACATAAACAACAACAAGAGAATAAATTCACCCAGACACCAAGTTAGAGTAGGGAAGCAGGAAGTTCTTCAATAGCTAACGTATATGGGTGTAGCCAGGGTATTTAACTCCTAAGTGTTAAAGGTATAAATATATGAATTGAAATTTTTACAAGAAAAAGAATCCACTTATATTTAAAATGAGGCAAAAGAGAATTAAATGGAAAGTTAAGGAAATAACATGGTGAACATTGTTTAGAAAATGTGCTATATACTTAGAAAGCGGTAGAAGGGAGAACTTTTAACTATTCTCACCACATAAAGATACATATGTATGACACATTGAAAGTTTACATGGTTTTACCATTTTTACAGTCTACAATGTAAATATAGCGTGATATTTATACCAAGTACACTCTATTTCTGTCCTGCTAATAATAGGTTTCTCAGGTCTTTCAAACGATTTCTGGGGATTCTCCCTTCCCTAAGTTAATAATGTCTTTCTAGAGACATCTTCACTATGACCAGGGCTGGAGGAGAAAGGGAAGGCTAGTGGTCTCTTTGTCTGATTCATCTTTGCTCTTCTATGACTTAATTTTCATTATGCTGTTTGACAGTTATTGAAGTCTTGTTTCCTATTGCCTCAAAGCAAAATACAAAATTCCTTCTGAAGTTCAGAAACCAAAGAGTTGGCAAAATAACTAAGCAATTATTCTTAACATTGGCACAGTTTAAAACTTGTCAGACAGCATTATTAAATTTGTTATTTTGCTATGAGCAAAATATGATCAAATTGAGTAACATTTATTTTAATTATTTATTGTCAGTAAGGAAAAAATATAAGTTTTGAGTGTACTTTGGACCTATAAGCTTGTATTACTGACTAGAGAGTTGGTTTGGTGCTTAAGAGCATATACACTGTCTTATAGATGACTGAATTTTTTTCCCAAGCACCAATTATAGATGCCCCACAACCTTCTGTAACCTCAACTCCAGGGATCCAATAACTTCTTTGGAGTCCACTGGCACCTGCACTCACTTGTACATACCTATACACAGACAGACACACAGCATTCCAGTAATTAAAATTAAAATAAAGCCTCAAAAATGTTCATAGTATAATTTATTAAGATAATGTCAGATGTGTAGGGAGTCTAAGAATTTAAATCAATACCCATATTATACTGAAATATTTTTGAATGATACATTCTAGTATATGCAAACAAAAATAATTCTTACATTTATTTATTTATTTATTTGTTTATTGATTTGATTTTTTCAGACAGAGTTTCTCTGTGTAACCCACTTGGACATCTTGGAACTTTCCCTGTAGAACAAGGACTAGCCTTGAACTCACGGAGATCTGCCTTGCTGTGTTTCTGTGAGAGTTAGAATTAAAGGTGTTTGTCACCATGCCCCATGTAAGAGTCATTTTTGTCTTGATTTTTTTCCTTCTAGTTAGTTTAAGTAGTCACTTTGGAATAAATATAAAACTAAAATAGTTTGTCTATAGAACATTTTGCTTTCAATGTAATTCCATCAGATTCTTCTAATAAGTATTTTAGCCAGCTGACTCAATAAAGAAACATAGTAAACACTACAAGAACATTTTATATGACATTTAATCACCCACATACATACACAGAATTATTCTTAATATAAATTAGCTTCTAGTCTAGGATGAAAATGCATTTTAAGTGAATATTTTTATATACATAGCTGAAGCATTTAAATAAAGTACCCATTTCTAAAATTAAATTGGTGCTTTAGACCAAATTATTTTTCTTTAAACTTTTCCTTAATTAAAAACTAAAGTGGAAATAACCAATTTCTAATTAAAAAATCAGAATCTCTGCCACAAAACCTTTCTATATGACAAAATGAAGTAAGTGTAATAGCCATTTGTATCAGGGAGCTGAGAAAGTATTGATTAAAAAGAGTATTACTTCTTGTTCCTATTCATACAGATGTCCATTTTCCAAAATTAAAGACGGTTTTGTCTATATTTTTAATGGAAAATGGAACAGAATCTTGTGGAGAAAAGTAGTCTGCCTGAGAAGCCATGACCCAAGAGTGCAAGGTCTCACAGTTTCTGTTTTTTCAGTAGAAAATAAAATGTAGCATACAGCAGTGGCTTGAGAAAACCTAAAACAATACTTGCATTCTTTTTAAATTTATTTTATATATGAACTTTTATGTATCACCATATGTGTATTATCCATGATTCTAAAATGTCCCATGTCTTTGGATGGTAGAAGACTGATGTGTAAAATTAAACTAATAAAATGACAACAGTGCTTCTGACTTCAAGGAACATAGTTAATATCTCTTTTTTCCAGTTAATCTTAAACTCTTTAAAATGAATCATTTCCATCTTTAGGTCAACATATCTACAAGTTCATCAAATGAGTCTTGATTTCTCTTTTAGCCTTTGAAATCCATGGAGCAGAATGGACCAGGACTGGAGTATAGAGTGAGCTGGAAGCCCCAGGGAGCGCCAGAGGAATGGGAAGAAGAAACAGTTACAAACCACACACTGCGTGTGATGACACCTACAGTCTATGCTCCTTATGATGTTCAAGTTCAAGCCATCAATCAACTTGGCTCTGGGCCTGAGCCTCAGTCAGTGACACTCTATTCAGGGGAAGATTGTAAGTGGTCCAAGCTTAAATCCTAAACAAATCAAGACAATTTTCAAGTTACTACATTTGGTCAATATTTTTGAGTAAATACTGCTTGCAAAGATAACGTATTACCCGTGAAACAGAAAAATAAATACTATATGCCTTGAAGTTTGCGTTGATCTTGGAGAGACTGGATCAAGATACAATGTTCAAGAAGTACTTGTCTGGAAATGTAGCTTGTTGATAGAATGTTAGCCTAGAATTCACAAAGCTGTGTTTGAAGCTCTAATATGATAAAACTCTGCTAGATGTGATGGCAAATGCCTATATCCCAGTATTTAGAAGGTACTGCTGGAGGAGTAGAAGTCATAGTCATCCTTGGCTACACAGTAAATTTGAGGCCAGTCTGAGCAACATGAGACACACTTTTGAAATAATAAGGTTCTGGAAGCACAGTAAAAACCAGAATCATAACGACAAAGTAAGTACTTTGAATGTTTCAGTCTTGTTCAAGAACCTGTTAAAGTTCTTTGTATTTTGAAAATCAAAGACCTGAAACCAACACAAGACTCTGTGAGTGAACATAATGATCATGGGGTTTTCAAGGTTTTGTTAGATTTACCTTTTCTTGTCAAGGATTTCTTAACAACAGCCTGATAAAATTCTCTGGGCCTCACTTACATGCCTGAAAACTGCCTAACACAGATGGGATACCTACCCAGATTTGAATATGAAATTCTAACCATATGAATAATTTTGAAGAAGCAGTCATGAGGCCATATTATTAAATGCTAATAGCATAATAACTGCTGCAATTATACTTCCAGAAAAAGAAAAGACTGCATTGGGCAACTTTTCACATAAGGAGATATTCTTATTTTCTTCCAGTATCTGGAGTCATGTTTTGAATCAGGAAGGAATGGTCTTGAATGAAAATGATAAGTAATCTCTTATCCTACTAGCCTTCAGATTAAAAAGTCACAAAGAACATAATTTATGAGCAATTGGTCTTGCTGGCTGCATTTTAGTAATCTCAGCTCTTTAGAACAGAATGACAATGATAGTCCTATAAGGACATGCCTACGTGTATATGAGTTGATCCAGGTACAATTTCTAAATATCGGAAACATAGTACATACTCAATTGATGTTGACTGTTATCTTAGTTATATTTATTTTGCTGTGAAAAACACCAGATACAAAAGCAATGCGAGTGGCAAAGAGTTTATTTCGGCTTGCGACTTAGAAAAACACTCCATCACTTAAGGAAATCAAGGCAGGAACCCAAAACAAGAACCTGGAAGCAGGAAACAATGTAGAGGCAATTTTATGAATCAGGAATGCTGCATACTGATTTGCTTTCTTGGCTTACAGTCTGCTTTATTGTACAACACAGGACCACAAGCACAGGGGAGATAGTATCCACAAGGGACCAGACCTTCCAAGATGGGCTAATGAATCAAGAAATTTCCCCCACAGACTTTATTAAAGACAATGTAATAGAGACATTGTCTGTGTTTGAAGTTTCTTTTTCTCTGATGACCCTGGCCCATGTCAAATTGACTAAATAAACAAACAAATCAATTAATTAATTTATTAAAAACTCCAAATCTGACCAAGGCAATTGTTCTTTTAATGTCAACCTAATTCTGAAATAATTTCTTCATGTTACTGGGGCTTCAAGCATGGCTTTAAATTTCTATTTGCATTTATCTCCATTACTGGGATCATTTCTCAATAGGATAGATAAAGTAACTATGGTGAACTGAGTCCTCTGTACCAAAAAAGTGCTGATACCATTTGAAACCAAAAGCACACAAGTACTTTCCCTACCTAAATGTTGTAAAGATTGTAAGCAAAGTTTCCTGTCCTGACAGCCTGCTCCCAAATAGCTGCAGCTGCTTCGTTAAATAGCTGATTCAGAGACTTAATACAAATTATAAATGATCAGCCAATAGCTCAGGCTTGTTATTAACTAGGTCTTACAACTTAACCCATTCCTATTAATCTGTATTCTTCCCTGAATCTCACTCCTTTTACCTCTATCCCATTTTGTGTGACTGATTAGTTCTCTGTCTGGCTGGTAACTCCAGACTCCACCTTTCCTGATCTCATCATTCGCATTTTGGCTTTTCCACCTAACTTTATCCTATTCAGCTACTGGCCAGTCAGATTGCTTATTAAACCAATCCGAGCAATGTATGTTCACACAGTATACTGAAGAATTATTCAATAGAAGATCAGTCTTGGAAAGAGATTTTTATGAATCAGGTGAATAGGTCATTGGAAGCTAATCAATCTTAAATGCTTTACAGATCCTAGTACAGCTCCTGTGATCTATGGTGTGGATGTTATGAACAGCACATTAGTTAAAGTTACCTGGTCAACAGTTCCAAAGGAAACAGTTCACGGGCTTCTGAGAGGATACCAGGTTGGTACAAGATTGATATTTTTAAGTAATTTTTTGTTTCATTTTTACTTCCTCATTGACACCATTGAATTTGTTTCTTTTCTGAGATTTTAAAATGATTTCAAGAGGTCAACTGAGTATCTGTTACTACGGTTGTTGTGTTAAAGGATTTGCATTTTCTTTGCAGATAAATTGGTGGAAAACCAAAAGTCTGTTGGATGGAAGGACACATCCCAAAGAAGTGAACATCCTAAGATTTTCAGGACAGCGAAATTCTGGAATGGTTCCTTCCCTAGATGCCTTTAGTGAATATCACTTAACAGTCTTAGCCTATAATTCTAAAGGAGCTGGTCCAGAGAGTGAGCCTTACATATTTCAGACACCAGAAGGAGGTGAGAGAATAAATATGGAAGGTGCCATCTATGCAGATGACTTAATGGTACTGTTAAACATTCTCTTTATTATTGATAGTTAATGTGAAGTTCAGAGGGATTCACATCTTGATTCCCATAAATGTGTTATCTCATGGGGATGTGTTGTTTGGTTTTCCAGAAATTCATTAGTTTATGAGTACCCATTTATGATCTTGTATTTTCTAGTACCTGAACAGCCAAGTTTTCTCAAGGTCATCAAAGTTGATAAAGACACTGCCACTTTATCCTGGGGACTTCCTAAGAAACTAAATGGAAATTTAACTGGTTATCTTTTACAATACCAGATAAGTAAGTACAGATTTGAATTGGATTTAACCTACCAAAGATTCTGTTTTTCTTTGAGGAATTAGCTTATTATGTAATGAGCAGTATTCTCTATAGAGCAAGGATCTGTAAAGAAAAGGCAAACTGTAGCCCCTGTATAATTCAATAATAAACATTTGTTTTATTGAAGCATGACTGTGTTCACCCATTTACATATTACCTATAGCTGTTTTCGAATTATAATGGCAAATGTGAGTTAGGGAAACAGAGACCACATTTTTCTCATAGTATTAAGTACCCACAGTTTCTGTTTACAAAAGGTCTGTGGGCTCCTATTTTGTAACTAAAACAGTGGATCCTAGGGAAAGTGTATTTACCCTCGATCTGTGAGCAGCTTTGAGAATTATGGAACATGCCAGGGTACAGAGTTAGTAAACAATGTAATGGAGATTCACAGCACATGCAACTCCATACTAAGACTGACCCCTTCATGATTGGTGAATGATTCCAGTCTCAAGCCTTCATATATTTGTCTGGGTAGAACCCTCTGATGATAGCTTGTTAGTCAGGCAGGACATGGTGAGAGATTCAGAATAATCTCCCCTGCAAACTTCTATGTCACTAGATTCAAAATAGTTAAACAAATTTAAAACATTTTAAAAGTCATAACATCTCTTACCTGAGAAAAATCATCAAATGATAAGCATCATTTCAAAATGAAAGGTGTAACTTCAGTCATATCTCAACTGTTAACCAGTCCATATACTGGACTATAGCCATTCAGTCTACCCTGCTCACAAAAACCAACCTCATCATGGCCTTGGTGTTTACTCTGATGTCTCCTGAGCTGTTATATGGGTCAATTATGAGCTTTAGGTTCCACTGATCATGGCTGAGCACAGCACAGCTGTTTAAGTAAATAAAGATGAAATCCAAGGGAAGTCATGTTTCAGTGTTTTTACCAGTTTGCTTTTAGTAAGTGCTTTTCCCTAACTGTTCCACGCAACCTTTGCAGTGCATGCTGTAGTGTATGGATGAAGGAGTTGACACATATCTTCTGTTCTTATTTTAAGTTCATATCATATTGTGCCTATGTCTACATTTTGAGTTCTTAAGCCTCACTCTTCCAAGGACCAATTTTTAAGACTGGACAGAACCAAAATATTTCAAGAGTTTTCAATTTTCTTTTGGTTTAGTGAACTTGTGCCCTATCTTTGAATTTGTTTAAATTCAAATATTTTGCTTGATTTGTTTTTAAGATTTAAATTTGATTTAAAAACTACTTCTCATAACAGAGTATTTGAAATATTTATAGTTAAAATAGTCATTGTACTTCTTAAAACTCACAAATATTGAATTATTTATTTTCCTATTAATATTAAATGCTGTGTATATTTCATGTAGTGTGTCTTTTCCTTGTTCTTCTCTAGCCTAATCAATTTCTATTTTATATAGCAGATTGGTATATACTTTCTCTAGTTTTTATATTGATTTTAGTAGGTATGTTAATTGATTCTGTAGGGCTTAATTGTGATAAAGTAACTGATATATTTCCATCTTTATAATGTTGAGATTATTACTTGCTGTCTTAAAATAATTGCTTCATACAGGATAATTAATGTATTTTTAGGTAAATAATAAATTCTCTTTTTATGAATGCAGAGAGGATAATTTTGTAGTTGTTTCCTTGCCATTGGCACCTTCAAACCTCCTTAAACACATCCGTACATAATTTAGCCTTTTTTGTGTTTACCATAGTGTTCAGAGCATAATAGACATTTAAAAGCACTTCATTCATTAGTTCCGAAATTCATTCATTCTGTATATGTTGAGCTCAGAGAGCTCCTGACATTCAATGAGTTAAGTGCAAGGTTTGGATTTATGAGGGTACAAATATGACGCACATTCATCAAATCCCACACTTTATTTTTTAAGTGTGTTTTTATTCATTTACCATTTCAGACATATTTATAATGAAATTTAGTCCTTTACTCTTCAACTGAATCTTTTCTTCCCAACATATCCCCTTCCTGCTCCTGTGTCTTTTTATTTATTTTTTGATTCTTTTTTTTTAATTTAAATTAGAAACAAGCTTCTTCATATGTCAATCCCAGCTCCCGCTCTCTTCCCTGCTCTCCCTTCCCCTTCAACACTCTCCCAACCCCCACTCCACACTCCAAGGAGGGTGAGGCCCTTCATGAAGGATCTCTAAAGTCTTTCATATAATCTAGGGCAGGGCCTGGACCCTCTGCCATGTGTCCAGGCTGAGACAGCATCCCCTCATGTGGAATGGGCTCCCAAGGTCCATCTGGATGCCAGGGATAAATGCTGATCTATTGCTCGAGGCCCCAAAGAATGCTGAGGCCTCCTCACTAACACCCTCGTTCAGGGGTTCTGAATCAGTCCCATGCTGGCCTTTCAGCCATCAGTCTGGGGTCCCTGAGCTCCCCTTATTCAGTTCAGCTGTTTCACCCACCATGTCTTAACCCCTTTGCTCATCACTCCTCCCTCTCTGCAACTGGGTTCCAGGAGTTCAATTCAGTGTTTAGCTGTGGGTGTCTGCCTCTGCTTCCTTCAGTCACTGGATAAAGGCTCTAAGATGGCATACAAGGAAGTCACAATATCGGCCAAGAGCATTTAAGGTAGCCTCTCCACTATTGGTTAGGTTACCAGGTGGTGTCATCCTTGAAGGTCTCTGGACATCTCACTAGTGCCAGATCTCTCTTCAAATGTATAATGGCTCCTTCTATTATGGTATCTCTCATCCTGCTCTCCTCCATTCTTCCTGCCACTCAACCTTCCTACTCTCCCATGTCCTCCTCTCCCCTCTCTTCACCCCCTCTCTTTCTCCCAGGTTCCTCTCCCCTCCCCCTCCACGTGCTCCCAATACCCAAAGAAGATGCTGTCCCTGTCTGGTTCCCCTTCTTTGGGATACCATGCATATCTCTCTTAGGGTCTTCCCTGTTTCCCGGACTTTCTGGCTATGGTATTGTAGGTTGTCACTCCTCTGTTTCATGCCTAACATCCATATATGAGTGAATACACACCATGCTTGTCTTTTTGTAACTGGGTTACCTCACTCAGGATGGTTTCTTCTAGTGCCATCCATTTGCCGGCAAATTTCAAGATTCCCTTGTTTTTTGTTTGTTAGTTTATATGGTTGTTATATTTTGTTTTGTTTTTTCCGCTGAGTAGTACTCCACTGTGTAAATACACCACATTTTCTCTATCCATTTTTCAGTTGAGGGGCATCTAGGTTGCTTCCAGGTTCCGGCTATTACAAATAATGCTGCTATGAATATAGTAGAGTAGGTGTCCTTGTTGTATGAATGTCTATGAACATAGTGGAGCAGATGTCCTTGTTGTATGAATGTGTCTCTTTTGGGTATATGCCTAAGAGTGGAATTACTGTATCTTGTGGTAGATTGATTCCCATTTTCCTGAGGAGTATCCATACTGATTTTCAAGGTGGCTGTATGATTGGCACTTCCACCAGCAGTGAAGGAGAGTTCCCCTGTCTCCACATCCTCTCCAGCATAAATTGTCATTGGTTTTTTTTTTTATTTTAGCCATTCTGACAGGAGTAAGATGGTATCTCAGAGTTGTTTTGATTTGCATTTCCCTGATGGCTAAGGATGTTGAGCACTGTATCAAGTGTCTCTCAGCCATTTTAGACTCCTTTTTCCATCAATTCCTGGTGGGTGTCTAAAAGAAACAGTAAGAGCCTGTATTGGTACTGGGCCTCACATCTTTTAAAGTTTGATCATCTCCTAGGCTATTCATTTGCAGCACTGCACTCTCTGATTGGGTTTGACAGTGGCAGCTAATCACAGCATCTAGTTAGTGAAACAATGAGAATCAGCAATCAAAATTCCATAGAGTATTGAATTGCTAAGTTACATTCAGGAGAGTGGGAATACTAAATGTAGATTATATTTATGATGCTTTCAACACACTAAGGATGAGGAACAATTTTGTCACCAATCCAGGAACATGTATGCATACTTGAAGCCACATTTTAAATAAAAACCCTAGAAAATATAAAATAATAATACTTTGTTATTTATTATCTCAAACAACAAAAAATTGAAAGTATCTCTGTCAAGGATCCGGTAAACCTTGGGTAATGGAGAAGTGTCTAACATATATAACAAATTTTGAAGGTGACTGGTGCCATAATTATTGCATGGTGACTTAGAGTTAAATGGCTGTGGTTTAGATTAAGGTCCTAGTTTAACCAGTCACTGAATCTCATTCTGGAAAGGGTTTTACTTTTAAAATAACTCAGTCTTCTCTCAGTTGATATAGTGATAATAATTCTGTGTACCCAGAAAGAGTTAATAGTGATGAATAATGATAGCCACTTTTTCATTAAGTAGAAACAAAAATTGTAACTTCAATTGTGAAGAACTGTGAAACACTAATGTTCATGCTTATTTCTTCAGTAAACGACACCTATGAGATTGGAGAGTTAAATGAAATCAACGTTACTACTCCATCTAAATCTAGCTGGCATCTCTCAAACCTCAATGCAACAACCAAATACAAGTTCTACTTGAAGGCATGCACCTCAAAAGGCTGTGGAAAGCCAATAAGCGAGGAAAGTGCCACACTGGGAGAAGGGAGTAAGTATTTGATGCTTCTGCATACCGTGGCTTCACACAACCTCACTAAAGTGCAGGCACCCAGGCTTGGAAATTTAGAAATGACTGACCCAAATCTATCTGACCCTTTGTGCACCACTGACACAGGCACAGAATTTACTGTTTTTGTTTGCAAAGTTCACATTGATTCAATTTATGGATTTCTGAACAAAAACTAAGCCATATCTTAGTGTGTACAAATTTGGGAGCATACTTCCATTAAATAAAATAAGTGGACATGTACTCATAAAGTTTCTCACAAAGTGAGAAGGATATTTTTCTTTGGAGAATATTTTTGTCAAAAAATTGTCTTTTACTCTGGTAGATATTTTACAGAAAAGAATTTAATATATGTCACTTCCATGCTTTGACTGACAGTATATAAATTCATATGTCACATTTGGTTTTTACAGTCTGGTGGTTCATGCTAAGTAACAATTGAAAATGACTTATCAGACTGTTGCCTCACATGTAGCACAGTTACAATTAAATTACATTTCTATCTTTCTCCTACACTGTAACAAAATCCTTTGCAAAATTATTTTTCCAAGGAAAATGTCAGGGTTTTTCTTGCTAATCTATATGTAATATCCATAGTGCATCAAGACTGAAGTAGATTAAGCAGTAAAATAAAATTTGTTTAAGAACTGATGTTCTCATAAACAAGTTAAGAAAAAGGGACTCATGTGTGGTTCAAAGTTGTCAGGCATACGGGGATTTGAGGGAATAGAAAGTGATTGATGGTAGAGGTTAAGAAGAGAAACAAAATAAAATTTTAATCATAAATAGTATATGACAAATGTAATTCTGTTGTGAGTGATTTTCTGAACTGTAGATTAGGAGCACTATTAACTCAATAGGAGAAATACTGGAAAAAGGAGAGTAGTGAGGAAACAAACCAATTGTGCATTGTTTATGCACACAATTATGATTCATTCAAACGTGTGAATCAGTACCATTCATTGTAGTGCTGCTAAGAATCATTAAGCTCTGAACTTACTACATGTTTCTCCCTGTTACTGATTCCATCCCGCAAAACTTTGGGCCTCTGTTTTCTCCTCTATACTTAAAGTTGCTTATCTAGAGCCGTATTTTTAAAAAGCATCTCTCTTAAACCTATGAGTTAAAGACAAATGGAACACTGAATGAAATGAAGAACTCATTCATCTAGTAAAAATGTTAGACTTCAAGATAATGACAATGGTCTAGTTACTAAAGATTATTTCTCAAGGACACAAGCTGGTACCAATTGGGCAATTTACAACAGTCTAAAGAGTAGTTAGTTGTCTAAATAGCTATATGGTTCATACAAGATATTAAACCTCAGAGATCATTGTTATCTTGGTAGAAGTGACAATTTAATCAGGAAGAATATTAGCCCCATTTATGACAATTAAGAGCATGAAAAAAATCCAGAGTATTGCTTTAGCCATGCTCCACAGCCTACTACATACATTGCAAAGCCGGGCTTTATTTGTATTCACACTTAACAAACTTTTGTGGGGAGTAGATATATTGTTGAGTGGTTCCATGTCTGATGTCACATCTTTTTGCACATGGAAGGTGGAGCTAATGTGCTTGCTTCAGTATAAAAAGGCACATTGCTTCTGTATCCTGTGTTGGTAATTAAAAACTGTCCCATACTAAGGTGTTTGTGTTCTTTTCCAGGGATCTGCATTTTCAGTATTCCAGCTTCTGCCCTTTACTCCTATTTGACACTGATTTCTCTTCTATAGACATCTATTGTCATGCTGTAAATTATAGTTGCTTTTCCACTGAACTCCAACATAATCTTTGAACATTGTACAGTTCTACAGAGGAGATATATCTCAGCTTCACTAAGAACTCTAAAACCAACAACAGTTAAAATTAGAATCTATTGTTACACATATTTCTTCCCCTTCTTCCCTTGAATGCAATTTAAGACTCTGGTATTTCAAATTTGAGATTTAACATGTATACTTTTGTTTTCTGGCTTTTACTCCAGTTTCAAGGTGGCTCTCTAATTAAACAGGGGAAAAGGATGGAGTTATAATATGCTTTTGTGTCATTGTGGGTTTGAATAAATCACTTTGCATTTCTGTTTTTCAAAAGCTTGCACCTAATTATACACTAATATTTCTGGTTTTTAATGAATCTTTTATATATTAATTCTATTCTATTACAGTAATCCATTCTAAAAGTTCTGCTCCTCTGTATAACTGGCTTTGTTTCTTCTGTGGCACCATTTTTAATGCAGTCCTTCATTGTTCAGTAGTCATATAATTTACCTTTATTCTGTGATGAAAAGTTATAACCAAGTATTTTTGTTTCCTATGCCCACTCAACAAACAGTTTCATCAACCATCATCCATTACACTCTCACTAGGGATCTTCTTTCATTTAATGTGTAAATTGTTAACATTTACCAATTTAAAGTTTCTATGTTAAGCTTATTTGTAAAAAAAAATGAATTCAATGCCAAAAGTATTTTACATGCTTAATTTAAGGATCAGAGATTAATGTATATTAATTAAATTGTACTCATTTTTATCTGTTACACTGAGGTCTAATGATTAATTATTGAAAGATTGTTGATAAATTCTCTTAGAAAATTACTCATCTTTTCATACATGTTGCAAATCTCAGTGAAACCATTCCATTTAAATGTACCTATAAACCTGCACTTGCTGTAGCCAAAGATTTTAGTTTAAAATACCTTTTTATGGATATATTGAAATGTCATTTACAAGAACATATTGAGATCAAGGCAACAATTATCTTATATATTAATGAAATATACCTAAAATCATAATTCTATTTTTAATCGTAAGCCAGAGATGATTTAGTCAGTTTTTCACTAGCTGTGAAAATTCATCTAATACAAAAATAATGAAAAATTGGAAGGTTTTTTTTTGAGTCTGTGTTTGGTTTTGAGCCATTCATATGAAGGCAGATTTATAGTATCATCTCATCAGTAAATGCCATTAGCTGACATCATTGCATTTATTCATCTTTAACATTTTAAGACAAAAATCTGGAAATGCTAATTTCTGGGTCCATGATGACCCAAGAACCATTAAGATAAAAATGCCAAATTTATTTTTTAATCTCAAAAATGATACATATTTTTTCATTTCTCTCCTGCTTTTCAGTGATTAAAATCATATGATTTAACTGTGTACCTTTCTTAGGTAAAGGTATCAGGAAGATAACAGAAGGAGTAAATCTTACCCAAAAGATTCACCCTGTAGAGGTACTTGTGCCGGGAGCGGAACATATTGTTCACCTAATGACTAAGAACTGGGGTGATAACGATAGCATTTTTCAAGATGTAATTGAGACAAGAGGGAGAGGTGAGAAATTAGATTGTGTGGAATATAGTTTAGACAATTCACTATGTCTTGTGGGTTAATTTTATTATTATGTATTATACTTAAAGTATAGAGCACACTAGATATAAAGGTCATAATTTTAATTTTTATTGGCATACACAGCATTCAAAATTAGCAAAAATGAAATTATATCATAATGATCCAATGTTTCCCTTACTTAGTTTACCAGAGTAGTCACCCTAATGTGTTTTTTGCTAATTAATGTCTGTCAATAACAGAAACTAAAAGAAAAAGAGAAGCAAACCAGAGCTCACAGAGGTGCCATGGTGATCTGCTTGTAACCCAGGCAGTTTATGCTATGACTTCCTTGCTGCTGCTTCTGCATTTACTTCACTATCCTTTCTTATTCTCTTCTTCAGAGCTAAATGCTACCTGACATAACCTCTTCCCTAAGAAGGAAGGAATGATTTCCTAGTGTCTCCCAACAAAATGCCTTTAGATTGCTTTATTTCCTATGAGCTTAAAAGAAGGATTATTTATTACTTAAAAATTATATTTGATTGTGTCCCAATGTTGCATAACATCAAAACCTGATTCTAGAGGTGGCTTAACTTTACACCTTCTCTCTGTGCAACAGAATATGCTGGCCTATATGATGATATCTCCACTCAAGGCTGGTTTATTGGACTGATGTGTGCAATAGCTCTACTCACACTCATATTGTTAACTATTTGCTTTGTGAAGAGGAACAAAGGTGGAAAGTATTCAGGTAAAACCATAGCTTGATGTGATTTTCAACTTGTCTACAGAAAGTATTTTATAAAAATTACATTGATAAAACTTTATAGTGCATTATCTATGAAATATACTAAAGAGGATTATTTTACTTAAGCAACCAAAGAAAATATACATAGTTTATAATGCTAGTTTTCACTAATTATTTATTTGAATGTTTCTCTCTTAAAGCTGGCTGGTCTGGAACTCACTAGTTAGACTAGGGTGGCTTCAAACTCATAGATCCATTTGTGCCTCTGCCTTCTAGATGATGAGATTAAAGGTTTGCACCACTTTATCAGGCTGCTTTAGTACTGAAAATAAACTGTATGGGTTAGGATGATGATTCAGTGGTTTCAAATGTTGATTTAAGTTCTTGAGTTTGCTTTCTAGCAACTATATTGAGAAATTCACAACAGTCTGTGTAACTCCAGCTTCAGTGGATGAGATGCCTCTGGTCTCCTTAGGCACCCGCACTCATACAAACATACATATGTACATACATCAAATAAATCTTTTCAACATAATATTTTTATTGATTATTTGGGAATTTCACATTATGCACACTGAAATAACACTCAATTCCTAGTCCTTTCGTGTCTGCTCCTCTACCCAAATGGCCTCCCAACCCAAAAAAGAAAGATGTAGAAACAGCAGCAGCAAGAATAAGATGACTGAAGCATGGTCAAATTCCAAGTGGCCGGCCCCTTAAAGAAACTAAGTCTTTCCCCGCCCACACCCCCTCCAGAATCCATCGATTGTGGAGAGCTATACCTCAGCATCCTTATCACTATTTTCTCCTGCAGTGGTACTGATGACTGCAGATGCAGGTTGTTAAAAAGGGACATAAAAGTTTTCTGTGACAGCTCCCCATCCCCCAAAATGAAATGAATCTTAAAGATAAAAACATTAAAATAGGTTCTTAAAGATAACATTGCTTATACATTTATTCTTTCTGTTCATAGATATATCAGATATTGAGAAAGTGTATTATTAAGTGACACAAATGTTTCAGTGCCCTTAAAAGGAGCTCTTTTATTTATAGCATTCCTCTGCTTCTTTGTTTCTGGCTATGGTGTTTTGTGCTGTTACACTCTGATAGAAAGGGCTCCACTCCCCAGCCTTGTTAGAGCTCACCATTGCATCAAAGAGGGTGCATTTCCTATTACAATACTGGGTAACTTCTAATGAGTGCACTACCTCTTGGATTAATGATACACCAAATAGGAATAAAAATCATTCTAGTTATTGACTTGTTTATTTTTATCTAAATTACATTTATTTTGTTTTTACAAAAGGAGAAATATTTAACTCCTGCATCTCTGGGCTTACAGCAATCAGATTTAGACAATGTTCTTTATTGGCTCCTGATTTATCAAGCAAACATTTATTTAGAATCTATCATATACATAAAACCATGAAGAACATGACTTATACATTTTCATAAAATAGCATGAGTAATTGACACAGATTTATATTTCATTTTTCCTCTGAAATCTTACCTGTATCAATTATGTTCATAATAATGACTAATGGATAGTTCAGGTCATTAATTAGAAACTTTAAAGAGAGGCAGCATTCTTATTTGATTATCTTTTTAAAAATAACATTTATGAAGTATTAACCTATAGATGTTCTGAAGTCCTCCCTCCATCCAGGCCCATTTAAAAAGAACAACAACAACTTTTCATATTGAAGGATACCTAGTGTAAGCAGTAGTAAGTATAATCTTAAAGGGAACTTGTTTGTTTGATTTTTTAAAGGTAAGAGAATCAAGAACCCATCTCACATCCCAGTATTTCAATATCTTTACAATATCATTGATGTTAGACTTTTAAAATTTTTGTTTCAGTAAAAGAAAAGGAAGATTTACACCCAGATCCAGAGATTCAATCAACAAAAGATGAAACTTTTGGTGAATACAGGTAAATGTACTTTTGTATTTCATGATCAGTTGAAACGCTTTCATCAAGTGTGTCAAGTGGAGAGAGTGCTTTGTTTATAACTCAAGTAATGGAATTATATTACATTGACTTTATAATAGAAACTTCACCAAAGGTTTCCTTACCCCACCTCTGTCCTCCTTCTTTCCTTCCTTCCTTCTTTCCTTCCCTCCTTCCTTCCTTCCTTCCTTCTTTCCTTCCCTCCTTAATCTTTATTCCTTATTTTTCTTCCCTTTTTCCTTTCTGTCTGTTGTTCTGTAAGAGCTTAGTTATTATATATAGGATGGAGGCATGTTGAGGACCACAGTCTCGATAACAGGGCATCAAGATTCCTTGCTTGAAACTCTGTGCACAAACACATGTCATTTGTCATGTTCCCATAAACTAAGTTATTGAAACATCTTAAAGCCACTCTTAGTGTTGCTGTTATAGATTCCTTAAGTTTGCAACTACAGACACAGATTGCAACTCTTCCACATGCATTTATAAAAGTAAAGAGGTTCCTACCCAACTCTATACACGAACCTAGCCTTAAAAAACCTTGCCATTTAAAAATAATATTATCAATCAATTAGAATAAAAGGCTAAAAAGTGAACAACTATTTCTGCATGACAAGGATTCTGGGAAAAGAACCATCTAAGAGATAAGTTAAAGCATAGAGTCACTGATAACTTCTTGAAGATTATGACTCAATGTGTGAGTGTAACCAGACAGGAGCAACACAGCAAGAAGTCTAGTATAAAAGCAGCACTAAAGAAAGGATTGCAACTCCCAGTTATCCAGTTAGACATCATCTCTGCTGTCTGTACCTTATGCCCATGACATTTCTTAGCCTTTCTTTCTTGAGTTGTCACCATCCTTTAGTCAGATTGCCTCTCTCTATTGTAGCCAAGAAAATTATTATAAATTTCAAACTTACACTGAGGTTGATATGTATGATCCAAGAATCCCTGTCAAAGAAGAAATCCAGCTGGTCCTCACTGGCTCATCTCTGAGTCTGTCTACATGACTACGGATGTGGGTTACTTTGAGTAGCTGACCTGGAGTAATTAATACAGGTCTAAGCATCACCATGCCTCTGGTTGGCTCTATGCCCATCACTTATCTCTCTGATGGTTAGATGATTTCTTTTTATGGTTTTATATTTCTCTACAAGCAAATCAGATCAGAGAAAGACAGGGGTGGTTGTAATGTGGGAGGAAAGAAAAGAAAGAAAAAAAGAGAGTAAAAAGAAAAAGGACATTATTTGGAAGAGTTGTAAGCTATGGTCAGTGCTGTTGTACTGATTGGAATTTGCTTCTTAGTTATCTCTGATGTATGAAACTTCGAATAATAATTGGGTATTATCTCAATGCCCCCATGGAAAATGAATCCAGGCATGGGCTTCTGGCTTATGGTCTTCAGGAGACAGGCTTTTGACAAGAACTGTCGTCACACCTGGAGGTTTGGCTGCTGCTTCCTTATGTGTATGCTGACAGAGCTTGGTTTAATTCAGACCTATGGATTAATAACTTCAGAGCCATCTTCAGTAACTTGCATATCTCCGGGGCGTTTAATAATATCTAGCTTCAGGCAGAGCACAGACGCCATAGCAAGTACCCAAGTTATAGCCCATAGATATTGATATCCCAGTCTTAGAACTTATACCTCACTGATCTAGTATATCTTATGTATTATGCTGGGGTTTGTCAGTAGGTTCAGCACAACTTTAAAGAGAAGACACTACACATTTGTTCACATTCCATTTGACAGGGATCACTGAGGTCTCAGGACCACTGTCCACAAACAGTTTTATAAAGGGAAACAAAGCAAAACAAAATCCTGAATCTATCCCTTGTTCACAAACTTATAAGTCTATACCCTGTACTTTGTGGAAAGGATAGACAATTTCTTTTCTCTACATTGTTTACGGTTACAACTTTCAAATAATTAGCATGCTTTCTGGCATTTAACTTCAAAACTTCACATTCATCAGCAAAGTTTTTATCTTTTCCATGTTTCAGGGACTTTCTTACATGCTTTGACCTTAGATATATGTCTTTGCTACTCATCATCTGGTCCCAAAGCCAAATAATGTTACTTTTCAGAACCTCGGTGTCCTAAATTTGAAGCCGGTTACCACACCACACAGACATCTTGAATTATGCTATGTCAAACACGGACATCCAAACTTTCCCCTCTCAGAGTGTATCAAACACAGATAGTTCTTGTCATCTATCACTTTGAATCTCATTCTTAAAAGTTTTTAAATCAGATATATATTAAAAATGGTATAATTTTGTAGAAAATTGTGACTTCAGTTTTGCTTCTTGCAATGAGTGAAACGCACATTAGATAGTATATTAATAGTATTCATAACTATATTTTCTTTCAGAAATTATTTCACAATTCATTATGTATATACAGTACTAATTCATACCTACCCATTATCTTATCCTATCCTTTGAGTTCAAGCCCTTAGTCTTCATACCAAGTGCTTCACCTACTTCGATGTTCTCTCTCTCTCTCTCTCTCTGTCTCTCTCTCTCTCTCTTTCTGTGTGTGTGTGTGTGTGTGTGTGTGTGTGTGTGTGAGAGAGAGAGAGAGAGAGAGAGAGGGAGAGACAGAGACAGAGAGAGGGAGAGATGTGTGACCTGATGTATTTAATCAGGGTGCTTTAATAATTATAAGAAAAGAAAAATTTCAAAAGTAACTAAATTTGGTTGGTTACGCTAAACAAAAGAGAAAATTTTGCAAGGATACAGGAGCTTAAATGATCAAATAAGAGATAAAAGATGAAAAAATTTGGGCAGGATCAACAGGTCAACTTGGAAACTCTCTCTGATATCCCCGCCCTACCTGAAGGTAGATATTACTAAGTATCCTGGAGATAGGTCACATGGTAAGGAACCGAGAATGACTCTGGCTTGCCAAAATCTGAATTTCTCAACCCAAGCTCTGAATGGAACCAAGCTCTATCAAAACACGCATCAGGAAGCACATTCACTATCAGCCAGACCTCCAGGTGAGACGACAGTTCCTTTAAAAACCTGTCTCCTGAAGACCAGAAGCCAGAAGCCCATGTCTGGGCTCATTTCTTGTGGGACACTGAGATAATACACAATTATTATTAAAGTTTCACATGTATAATTAGGTCACTGAGTAGCAATCACAAGTGGCATAACTAAGTATCCTATAAACAACAGAATATTTCTCACAATTCTGGGACTAGATAGTGAGTTTCAGGTCAAGACAAAATGTCCTGTGCTCTTTTCTCTCATTTTCCTCTGGAAACTGCAAGATAGCTTATGGGAGGACCTTTCACCAGGGCGAATCCCTCTCATGAAGATTGTTCTGTGACTAGTAACATCCAGTGACCCCACACACCATTGCCATGAAACTGGGGTGAGGCAGTTCAGCATGTGAGTTGAGGGGGCACACAGGCACCCACACCATAGCCTCATTATAAATCAGCATGTTGCATCTTCATGCCCCAAAGAAGCTTCTCATTTAAAAGGGATGCAGAAGTGTAAAAAAAATAGAAAAGTATTCCTCTATCACTCAGAATGAAGAAAATTAGTTATAGCTTTAAAAAATACTTCTTTGTGGATGTGTCACTTCAGCTTTATGTCCCTGTCACTTGTGTTAATAAGAAAAAGTTGAAAATTATAGAACCCGTTAGCACTTGTGAAGGAGTCTTGTTGTATGTGCCTTTGAATCTGAGCTCCTGTGGAATTACTCTGTTTTGTCTTCTAGTGACAGTGATGAAAAGCCTCTCAAAGGAAGCCTTCGGTCCTTGAATAGGAACATGCAGCCCACAGAGAGTGCTGACAGCTTAGTGGAATATGGAGAGGGTGACCACTCCATATTCAATGAAGATGGATCTTTTATTGGTGCCTATACAGGAACTAAAGAGAAGGGGTCTGTTGAAAGCAATGGAAGTTCGACAGCCACGTTCCCACTCCGGGCATAAGCACAGAAGGTCACACACCATGGCTGGCTAGCCCAGACATCCCCAGTCTCTTCTGGGGAGCAAAGCCTTTTACAGAGGAGTGGAAACACATGTCTAGAGGTTGACATTCTGAAATTCTGCAATTTTGCTCAGAAAAATAGCACTGCCTTCAAAAAGAAAAAAATATGAGATGCCAAACACTTCAGGCCTATGTTTCATTTTTGGTTTTGTTTTTGGGTGCTCAAAATGAAGAACACAAAACAAATCTTGTACTTAGATCCACTTTGACTCAATCCAAAGTTCCTGTTTCACATACTCTGCATCTGCCTGGTTTCCTGTTCATTGTGCGTGCATTAATGTTGCTAACTGTGTGGGTTTCTCTCTGGATGCACAATTGTACTTAGTTTTTAAGAACTGTTTTAGTGACTTTGATTCACGACAGGAAAGGAGATTGTAAGCAAGCAAGCTGGTTATTTAAAATGTAAAAAGGAATATGAATGTTTATTAAATACTTCATGGAATCTATATAGTCTAAAGTTATTATTTAAAATTTTAGTAGTAAAAGTCATAGATGATCATGCAACTTGTATTTATTGAGCTCCTAACTATTTGCCCAGAGGCTGCCATGTATATGCAGAGTTACAACATTTTCAATTTCTGTAAGATTTAATTTCTGTCAGTATGGTAACTCTGCATCTCTCTCTCTCTTTCTCTCTCTCTCTCTCTCTCTCTTCCTGTTTTTAAACTTGGACTAACTGGAGCTGCAGGAGTGATGGTCAGGAGTTGTTTTAAAAACAGAGAGATGCTGATGATTGTATTTTGTATCTTCTTTTGTATGTTCACAGCTTTCAGCCTTTATGTTTATATACTGGTACCCTTGGATGTATTTCATTAATGCATTGTACATATTATATTAATATTTACACAGTTTAAAACATAGTGTTTTATTTTGAAGTGAGAAAGAGAACATTAGTAGGTATGACTGTACAGCTAGAGTGTATATAGTAGGATGCTGTTTTCATTCTTCTGGGGATAGATACAATAACCTGGGGTTCCAAATTCAAGATTATATGAAGAATTGGATTCTGTGTTTGTATTTCTCTACTTCACATGATCTCAAAATAAAATACAACCATGTAGGGAAATGAATTAATATTTTTCAAAATAAGTTTTGGAGTGGATTAGTGCCCCAGTTCCCCACAAAGAAAACTATTTACAGTAGAAATTCTTCTATACCATTTAGTTTATATCATATTGTAAATGTATTTGCAGTGGTATCATCATTTTAATGTTTTGCTTTGTCAGTACAGTGTCCAGGAATTTATTTTCTGGCATGCGGGCTACCAGTTCATCTAAAATGTTACAGAAGTTTTAGAGTGGTTTAGAAATGCCTTGAAAGACTCTGAATACATATAAGTAAATAATTATTTGCTCTCTCATATAACAGAAACTTTTAACCTCACTGTTAAATATTAACTATGTTAAGTGATTCAGTTCACAGATTTAACTTTACTGTGTGTAATTGTTGGATACACCACTCAGTCTTCATGTTTAATTGGCATGATGCATTATGTTGTTCGGGGGTTAAAATCATGGATATGTAAAATTACCAATGCAGTAATGTACATGAAAAATACATTTTTATTTCACACATCTTCCAGAATGCATAGGCAGGAAAAGCTTGTTTCAAAACCATGGACCCCAGTGTTTGGCTACTCACCTGGAAGTAGCAAATGAAAGGGGGGAGACATCTTTGTGCTCTAGCCTGTATGAATGTAAGGGTCCACACTTCCAGCTGTGCAAACTGATCTCCAGCTCCATCTGATGACTAAGGCACAGACTGTTGGAGAAGTCATCATCATGTGCTACTTTTGTGGGAGGAACTGTGGTACTGAGCTTCATAGAAAATAAAGGATGTCATTGACAGTTAATTATGCTAACATTCTGTCTCCTCCTTTTTGTCATCAGTCAAAATGTTGTTTGGAAAAGGTTGCACATGAGTTGAAAATAATATCCAAAATCTAGAATAGATTCATTAAGAATTTAACAAGCATTAAGTCAAAAGTTAACACGAATACTTATATTTTTGTTCCAAATGGACTTCATCATTCTTTTGTTAGCTGCTGTAAAATGAGACTGTGTTATAACACCTTTTGCTAGCCTCTGTGAACTTCTAAATACTATTGGGCTTCATTCTGTTGTAAATCTTCAATAGAGCAGGACAAGGTTCATGGATTGCTTTCATTTTAATTATAGACGTGTATTATTCAATATCTTCAAATGAGAACAAATCCAGTAGGTTAAGGTGGATTCAATTCTTTTTCTCTCTTAGACAATGAGTGGCAGACTCTGTGAAGTGAAATGCTGATTACAAATGGGCAATAATTATTTGGGAAATGCCCCCTGAGTCGTAAATTTTCTGTAGTAACGTTATGTAGTCTACTGACATATGATTTTAATGTAAGTGATTGTATATAATCTCAAGGATTGTAGATGGGGATAGGTTCAGAGAGAGCTGCTCGAGGGTCAGGAAAAATCCGTGTTCTCTTCCAGGGTCCAGCACTGACTTTACGTAGAATCCTTAGGCAGGTTGCTGAACTGCTTCACTTCAAACTGTGCTACAAAGTGCTAATGTTCGCTATCACAGGGTGTTCTTTTGTACAAAGAAAATTTACAAATGGTAAAATCTAAGATGCCTTTTAACTTCATAATCCAACCTGTAATCAAATTATGTATCAAAAAATCGCCCCCACATACACCAACTCAACTTTTCCCCCTCTAAGCACATAAATATATTTTTATAGGAAACAGATCTACAGAAAATAAACTAAATCTACTGTTAAGCAAGGAGTACGATTTGCACATGACATTGAAAATTATTAATCAGAAGAAAGTTAAGCAGGGTCTTTGCTATATAAAAGCGTTTTCCATTAATTCTGCATGTGTATTTATAAGATGTGAAAGCAGTAGATTTATTCTCTTGGTGTAAAGGCATCTGATATTTTAGATGTACCCATGTTTTTAAAAAACTGTAGAGCACAATGGACTTAATGCTATTTTATACTCATGGAAGAGATAGAGAACAATAAGGAGAGATGTTGGCTGATTTTCTAAGTATTTAAAACATTTGCCAATGGAAACCCTAAATATGTTTACATGCCATGAAGGTGTAATTCTTGTAACAACTTTAAATTGATTGTAATAGGACTGGTTTGTGGTTTGTGGTAGTAGATATATCCTTGTGTTCCTATAGTGAGATTAGTAGGACTGAGTCAAAGCTACTTTGTTTTGTCTTCAATTGACTGTGTTGTCAAAGAGGCAAAAAACACAGAGAGCAGGCTCACTGGTTAGCTTTTCTGTTCTTACTTAGATTAGTGTTCACAGTAGATCTTTACTCAAATGTGTTGGTGTTGTAGATGATGTTTGTAATGCTTATGGATATGTATGGTTCAAAACTATTTTCATTACACATGGAATTCAGCTTTGAAATAAAAGTTTGACTTCATGTACTCAAAAGATGTCTGTGTCACTTTCTATCAAATTAAAGGAATAATTTACATTTTTTGAGCTTCATCTTGGTTCCTGCTGATTCTGAAAATATACATGAAGTATAAATTAAGTTTGAAGCAGTGTAAGTAAAATATTTTATTTGTATCACTGTGTTTAAATACAGATGACTTGATGTCATCACGGTCTAGAAAACATAACAATCAAGTTCACAGTTGCAATCAGTGCAGATTTAATGTGTATATATTTTCAGCTGGCTTATTTTTCAGGAAAAATGTATAAATGTGTCCTTTTAATAACATATAATATCTTATATACTCAAAATGGATAAAAGTAAATTTTGTCAGACTCTTTTAAATATGGGATGCCCTATTTACTGAGTATTTTGATATTTAAAATATTTTGCTAAGTACCTTAGACACCTTATCACCTTTTACCTGAAAACAATGAAATCAATGAGTCAATTAATGTTACACAGTCATCTAAGCCAAGAAATTAAACCTAGGCCATTTGATTCCAAAACCTGTAGTTTTTATACTGGTCTGTTTTTATTTCCTCACTGCTTTACATTGCCTTAAAAATGCTTATGGAAGGTGCATTGGGCTTATTGTGAACCTGCCGGACATGGTGACAAATGATTTGGTTTTAAAATGCTTTGTGAAGACATGGAGGAGAAGGTGAAAATAATATTTTGTCAAACAACTGAATGTGAGGATCAAAAAGTAATAGGCATTCAGAAAAATCAGTTGTTTGCAAGAGAATTGGGAATACTAGGTTTCATTGATACTTCTTAGGAACTGAAAAATGATTTAACCCTCTTCCTAGGGCTGGCATCCACAGGATATCCTTGCATGTTTTTAATTGGTATTTGTGTTGCCCTATTAGAAATAATAATCTACAATGGAGTGTAGCGAGAGGTTCTTTGTCCGGGCTGGTCCTGTGGCCCTCAAGCCCCCAATAAACACACAGACACTATGTTAGTTACATACCTGTTGGCTGGTGTCTAGGGCTTCTTATTGGCTAGCTCTGTCTGAGTTATTAACCCATTTCTATTAATGTATTTCCACGTGGTCTTCTCTTACCAGAGAAGGGTCTGAATGTCTAACTCCTTTGGCGGCTCACGTGGTGCCTCTTCTGTTGGGTGACTCTTCTCTGCCTACCTTTCCCAGAATTCTCCTTGTCTCCTTTCCTTGCCTATCTTTCTGACTTATTTGCCAACAGTATTAGCAGTGCTTTATTCATCAATCAATAAGAGAAACATACATACAGAAGGACTACTCCATCAATAGTGCCTCTACCGCCCTTTGCTATTCTCATTTGCTTTCTTGTAAAATACCACACAGATTTTTAAACAATACACTACTGGATTCATGGTGTTATTCATGGTGTTCTGCTTATGGCGAGCCCTTACGGCTAAGTCAGCTTTAAGTCAGATAAGCAGTATTTCTTAAGGTTACTTAGTGTGTTATGTTGCTGACCGTTTTGTACTACAACTTGTGTGCATCCTTCTTACAGGACATACATAAGGTGAGAAAGCCTAAATATGTTGTTTCTTGAAAGAAACATTTGAATACTAAATAATGTACTGTACTTCAAATAGATATATTGCTTTTTTGTGGAGGAGGTATAATGTTTATTGGCTGATCTCTGTGTAACAATGTAAAATTTAATGTTTGCAATAGTGATTCTCAAATTACTGATTCTATAGAAAATAATGATTTAATTAAAACCAATAATACTTTGGAAATGCTGATACAAAATCATGAAATTGATGGATTTTGTACATTGCTAACTGCTGAAAGAATACGGTAAGAAAATGTATAGGAGCTAATATTTCTTTTGCTGGTTCAAAGGTTTTTCTCATTCTATTGTCTGCCTAAAATTTTTTGTCCTTTCCAGAGTTCGATTGCCATGTCCAGACAGATGGTTTCAATGCTAATGTTCTTTTGAAACATGACGTTTATATATGTGACTTTTTTGGTAAGAAACAAATTTTACACACAATAATGAAGGCTTAACTCTTCCAAACCTGAGAATGGTGTCACTGGTCAGTGTCCATTCACACAAGCTGAAAACATGCCATTGTGCACAGGAAGTTGTACTTGAATGCATGCCTTACAGGCTCTGTTGCTGTTTTCCCTATGAGTCTGCTGGATCTTCCTCCTCTCTGCACCCTGAGCACCGTAGATGGATGCCTCTTTGCTATTTTTTTTTGTCTGCTTCAGTTCCCCCTCTAATCTGGTCTCTACAATCCACAGACGCAGTTTTTTGTTTAAAAACATTTTTTTTATTTATATGCATGTCTGTCTGAGTGTATGACACATGTGTGTGGGTGCCCACAGAGGTTATTACAAGGGTGTCTGATCCCTAGCAAATGGAGTTAAAGTCACCTATGATAACAGATATGGGTTCTGGGAACCAAACTCGACTGAAGGCCAGAAAATGCTGTTAGCCACTGATGTATCTCTGCAGCTCAAAGGTGATTATAGAGGTAGGTACAAATATTCTCACAATGTTTCTTTACTGTGAACATGGGAAAAGAGAGTGGGTAGCTATCTCATTTAAAAAGCAGAAATCTTAACTTTCCAAGTCTATACATAATTCTTAGATCTTTTCTGACTTCATCCTAGCTTTGAGAATTGTATCAATCATTACCACTTCTTTCCTGCTTTGAAATCTCTAGGTCCTCATCAATCTTGTGTAAATCTCCACTAAAGTAAGGAACTTGGAAAGACTGAGGTACACAGTGCTTAGGACTTACCTTGCCTGGGATCTTTCCTTTGTATTATGGCATAATATTCAATGAGGCTGCCCAAAGACTATGATACTCAGCTGAGAAACATTAGGAAGTTAATTCCTAATAGGGTATTCATTTACCTACTCTAGAAAGAGACATTATCCTTCAACATTATCTCCTACCCTCCCTCCTTTTACCTTTCATTACATGGCATGGCCTCAAGGGAAATAGCAATTCCTAAATGGTGACCAACTCAGTCATGGCCTTCTTTTGGATAGGTATTGTTCCTGTCTCTCTTTTCCCCTCATGTTGGATACATGGGCTAACACTCCATATTAAAGGAGTATTTTGTAGACTGGTAGCTGCATGTTTTGTCCTTAGGATCCCAGGCTAAACTTTCTGTCCTTTATCAGTCCCTTATGTCCACCAAGTTCCTTCCCATCTGAAGACCTTGATATTTTTCCCTTGACAGAAGATTCAGTAATCTGTTTAAGCTGAATATAATTTCTTTAGGGAAGCCTCCTAAGACTTTCAAAACTAGGTCAAATCTTATTTTAGGACATACATGTCTTTGTTATTCAGCATTAATCATCTTGTGGTTTTGATTTTTTTGGGGTATTTGAATACTATCTTTTTCTTCTGTAAGTTTAGAAGCTCCACAAAGCCAGGAGATTCATCATCTTCCTTTTCATTGGAAAATACTACCCATTTAGCACAACGCTGCTTCTCTGATGGGCAATCATTGAATGTCTGTTAAATAGAAGCAGTCTGTAGAGGCAGAGGCAATATTTACAACCTTGAATGCCTTTGAGATCATTTCAAATATTTGCATGGAATCAAACTGTGTGTAATCCTGGCTACTTTAACCCTGGTTGTTCTAAAGCAAGGTAAGTGTTTCCATCACTCACCAAGAGCTCAAGCCTTGCTACTCAAAGAGCATGAATATAACAATGGAAGGACCAGAGGATGGGAAGCAGTACTTTGTGTGAGGCTGGCCTCTGGTTATGACATGGATATTGCACACATGAACCCACAGCAGCTAGCTGTGCTTACCTCCACAAACCTATCTGAAATCAAGCCAGTTAAAAGTTTCGGCAAAGAAAGAGGGAGTTCCCAAGGCCTCAACCCTAGGTGAGGAGCTGTTGGCAGTTCATAGCTTCTGGTGAAGAATGAGTCACCCTTCATTCTTCTTCTTTTTTTCTTAAATATTTTTAAGACTGTTTTATGGGTAGGGAATTCCAAATCATGCATCTCACTCCCACTCATTTCCAGTCCTGCCATGCTTGCCCCCTGCCCTTGTAGTCCTCCCAAAAGAGAAGAAAGATAAATAATGATTGAAAAAACAACACTTCCATCGTACCCACCTCTCCATCACATATTTGTTTACCATAGTTGCCTTGAAAGCTGCAGTATGTCATGTGGTGCACCTGCTTGCCCAAGCATTTTTCCTTGCAAGTATTCAGTGCACTGAGTTGTTGAACTTGTTCAATGCCTCTGGCTTCTGCTATGCTTTAAATAGTGGGTCCTCACTGAGACTCCCATTGGATAGCCTGCTGTTGCCCCAAGTCACAGAGGCCCTGCAGCTATGATTCAATAGGACCAGAACCTTTACAAACTTCAGCAAGTCATAGATGGGCTAGATGTTGAGGTGGGTCAACTCAAAGCACTGGATGTGGGCCTAGGTGGTAACCCAGGCCTTGCAGAGATGCCCGCCCTGAGGGGGGGCAGCATTCCTATGCCCCCACTACTGGGACCAGTTCTCTTGTGAGGGACAGAGTCATCTCTCTTCCTGCCTGGGTGAGTCCTGCTCAGCATGACCCTTGGATATCAACATGGCTTTAAGTGACAGTCCAGACCATGGCCAAATGATTGGTCTTGGGTGGCTGCATGGCATTAGACATCTACACAAACCAAACACAGCCACTGACATCAGCAAAAACCCCAGATGCAGTAGGGTAACAGACTCAGCCCTCTGGGGTAGCACTGGCTGTCCAGCACATAACATGGCCTCAGGTGGCAAAGTAGGCCACTCACATTATTCTGTTGCTCAATGCTTCATGTCTCTGTCACATGGTCAACTCTGCTTCTCTTTCTCTTCCATTCCTCTACCACACATTTGCTCATCATAGTGGCTGGCTGCAGTCTACCTCTGACCACTGTTTCTGCCCCCCTGCATCATAAGCAGCAGGTAGGCTACTAGCTTCTGTCCTTAACTGGCACAGGAGACACCATGAGCATGAGTCACCTTTCTTTTAAAGTGTGGCCACTATTA